TGGGGTCGGACTAGTACGCTCTTGTGTTGGCGGCGCAGGATGTCAAGGAGAGTATGGTGAGGATCTTGATACTCGAGTGCACCTCGTTCAGAAGTACTTACGAGCGTCAGGAAATTTAATGTATTTAGTCGGAAAATGGCTGCCGTGCACATGGACTCGGGATGATCACTTCGTTCGAAGAATGCGACGGATATGGTCTCGGGGCGCCGGGGGTTGCCATGATGCGCTCTGAGCACCTCCGAGGTGGGGCGGACCCGCACAAACCGCACCATTGATATCGTCGCGTGCCGTCCTCCACCTTGCTGATCAGGTGATGGATCCTGTGTCCGCGCACTGGCCGCGGATCCGGGTTGTGGAGAAGAGTCCGACACGCTCGCGCGCCGGATTTGAGGCTTCTGTTCGCTGGTTACTTATAAGTTTCAAGTAGCCGTACCGCGTGCCAGAGTAAGACGTCCAGACACTTGCGCTTTTGCGCGTCACCACGGGGTCAAGTACTGCATCCGAAGCGGCAGCGACGGAGGGGTTCCATGACGAGCTTGCAAGCGCAGTCGTGACAAAATGTGGCTGACCGGGGCGGTACGCTGAGTCCGCATGGAAGGCGACGCAGTTAGCGAGACCACAAAATGGGCAGCGGGCGGTGTCGAACAGGTGGAACAGGGTCATGGGTCGCATTCACAGAAGGCTTCTCGCTCTCTGGTCCATGTCTTGTGCAGTCTCTTGGGGGAACTCGCCTGGCCAGCTTGACTCCGACCAGGAGGGAAGAAGCAAGCGCAGTTGGCGCCGGCAGAAGCAGGGCGCGGCCGCGACTGGTGGCTCTGCCCAAGCTCTGCCTTCTCCGTCGACGTCCTGCAACCATCGTGGGCGCGGGCTGTCCTCCTCGCCATCGCTTCCTCGAGCCGGGCTCCAACTTCCAAGTAAAATTGGGTCACGCAACATCGCGAGCCTGCGACTGTGAACCATCTCGGGTGATGTTGCGGCCACATTCCTCCGGAGTCGTCCGGACGAAGGCTCGGAAATACTGCTGAAGCGACACAGGTCGCTTGCCCGTCCTCATCCTCTCTGCGTCCCCGGCGAGGCGCGGCTTTGTCGATGGCGGCAACCTGGCAGATTGACCCCGCCGTTCGCGGACCAATCGCACTCCATTCTCTGACCATCCCTCTTCCCGCCCCCGCCTGCGCCCCGCCGCGCTGGCATGCAACGCTCGAGGACTCGAATCCGGCAAGGCGCTGCCAGGTCTAATGCCAATCCCCGCCCGCCCATCCGTGAGCGCATCGGACGTCTCTCCGGCACGCCCTCGGTTCGATCCGTGACGTCCTCTCCGCGCTCGCTGGACGCAGCCCAGTGGGCCAGATAAATGCCCGCATTTTCTGCGGCGGCGCCCCGGTCTCCACCCTCATCCCCGCTGCCAGTCCTCCCCCAACTTCTAGACGCCGCTTGCCATGGATATCGAGAAGCTCGATATCAACGAACACACCGGGCACACACAGTCTTCCACGACCCTCTCAGACACCGCGGTGGACGCACAGAGCACACAAGCCCACTCCGTCTCCTCCCCTTTCCCGGACGGCGGTCTCCACGCGTGGCTCACTGTCCTCGGCGCCTTCCTCGCCTTGTTCTGCACATTCGGCCAGCTCAACTCCTTCGGCACCTTCCAAGCGTTTTACGCAGACCACCAGCTCCAGCACCTACCCGCCTCCACCATCTCATGGATCGGCTCTCTGCAGCTATGGGTCTTCTTCTTCTCCGTACGTGCATGGCATGCATCAGTCGTGTCCCCGTGACGCTCATTCATCTCTAGGGCGGGTTTGTCGGACGTCTGTTTGATGCGTTCGGCCCACGCCCAACCATGGTTATCGGGACTATCATTCTCGTCTTCGGCACGATGATGACCAGCCTGTCCAGCCAATACTACCAGTTCATCCTCGCACAGAGCATTCTCGTCGGAGTTGGCATTGGGGCGGTGTAAGCAGTTTGATCTCAACCGCCCCGATGCCTACTGACATGCGCTGTTCCCTAGCTTCTATCCCAGCCTGGCAGCTATCCCCACGTACTTTCAGAAGTACCGCAGCACCGCGCTCGGGATCGCCCTCGCAGGCTCCGGCGTGGGTGGAGTCGTGTGGCCAATCATGTACCAACAGCTCTTCGCCCACGTCGGTTTCGCGTGGACCGTGCGGATCACTGGCTTTGCCACGCTCGCGCTCTGTGGAATTGCCCTCGCGATGGTGTCGAGCAATCTGCCCAAGGCTCCCAAGGCCCAGCGCGAGAGCGCACCGATATTGGACTTGAAGATCTTCCGCGACTTCACGTTCATGCTCATTGTCGTCGGGAGCATCCTCATATGCCTCGGTACGCGTCTCCTTGCCAGACTACGCTTCGTTGACTCGCACTCACTCGACGCGCGCCCTGCAGGTCTCTTCATCCCCTTCTTCTACATCATCGACTATTCCACCGCCCACGGCATCGCGCCACAGACGGCCTTCTACGTGCTCTCTGTCATGAACGCAGGCGGGATCCTCGGACGCCTCGTGCCGCCCGTGCTCTCCGACACCCTCGGCCGCTTCAACATCATAATCCCCTGCGCCCTGTTCACGGGGCTGTCGATGCTCCTGTTCTGGCCCTTCGCGACGAGCCTGGTGTCGATCATGCTGTTCGCGGCGGTGTACGGCTTCTTCAGCGGGGGGTTCAACGCGCTGGTCATCCCCGTCGTCGCCCAGATCTCGGACATTCGCGAGATCGGGACGCGCATCGGCGTGCTGTATTCTATCATCTCCGTCCCGTGCGTAGTCCCTCTCCGCTTCGGTCGTTCGAGCCTGACCTGGACGCTCGCGTGCGTTGCAGAGCGTTGTGCGGAGGCCCCGCGGCAGGCGCGATCCTCAAGGCGAACGGGGGCAGCTTCCTCGGGATGATGATCCTCGGCGGGTCCGCCGTCGTCGGCGGCTCGCTCTTCCTCCTCTGGGCGCGCACGACGCTCAGCCGCCAGCTCTCCGCGCGTATATAGCGTGGCACCCGTCCGTGCCTTCTATTTTGCCCTCTCTTTCGTTCTCGTTGGGTTTTCGCGACCCCTCTCTCCATGTCCTTCCTCGCGCCCCCTCACGCTCTGTCGAATCCGCCCGTGTAAGCTGCTCTCTCCGCTGTCGTCTCGCTCTCATCCGTGCGCCCATACCCCCGCAGTGTATCCGTATCATTATTTGTAAATAACCTCCCACGCACGCACCCCTCGGCCCCGAACGAACCCCCATGTCCCCTCGTGTTGTAGACCGCTGTGCCATCTCACGATACCGCACACACAGGCTTGTGCTGTCCTCATTACAATCCCGCTTATGAGTCCACGCTGTCCCTTCCTTGCTGAATTCCTGTACATACGTACGCGCGTCGCACACTTCATTCCCTCATGACATAATGGCATGACACACTCCCAGAACCTCTCGCCGCGTGCGCGGATCCGCAGTGCGCGCACCGTCGTCCACTAGGGGTTCTTACTGTTGCGTATGATGGTAGAAGAGGTAGTTTTGGACCCTGACGTGGAGGGTTGTCTGGGGATGGACTAGGTGTTTGCGGTGGTGGGGCCGGCTGCAGCGGCCGAACCGGACAAGGGTCGCGAATGGCGGTCCTGGGGGCCCTCGCACATCTTGCGGTGTAGGAGTCCCCGCTGCGCCGTGCGTGCGTGAGCACTTCTGAGCGCACGGGCGCGCGAACGTGGTTACATGTTCTACCGTGAAATAGAGACGGTGCACCCAGATGTATAAAGGTAGTTCACGAGCGCCAGGAATATTCAGTGACCCTCCACCCACACACTCGGACGCGTCCGCGCGTCCGTCCGACCTCGCGCATCCCTCATATTAGCTGCATTCTATCTTATCATCGTATCTATCGCACCTGACTACCGGCCAATCCGCAACACATCCCCCAGTCGAGGGGAACCACACGGTGGGCAGAATCGCAGAAGAGCCGGAGCGCGGACGTTCGAGTTCGATAAACGGTGCCGAGGCGTATGTAAATGTACTACCAGGCGGCCTTAATCTCTATCGACGCCAAACTCGCCATAATATCATCAGCGTACCAATATTCGTTGATCCTGTCCGAGTCCTCCAAAATCCACGGCTCCTCGACCGGCGGATACCGGTTATATTGGTTCCACGGACCGTGAGTTTTCATCCACCGCGGATGGCCTGCACCTTTCCGCCTGCCTGTGCGATTCGTGGGGCCAACGGCGGAAAGTCGCTCCGTATGATCTGCACCTTCTCCCCCTCGCAGTACACGAACTCCGCAGAGACCATGACCGGACGGCCTCCGTCCCTGCGAAGCACGGCGCGACCGTTGAGCAGCCTCCGCCATCCACTTACCATCTTGGACCGATCATGGCACCCCCGCCGCCCGAAGTCGATCACGACGGCGCGGAGTGCAGGGCACAGCGCGGGCGAGGGCGCGGCGAGGGCGTCGAGGAGCGGCGCCAGGACGACGGTGAACACACGGGGTTCGATGCCCACCGTCTCGTACGCCTCGCTGAAGTCGACCACCAGCGTCTCCAAGAGCGGCATGTGCTCCAACAGCCGCACGAAGGCAGAGCCGTCGTCCTGGAGTCGGTCCCACTCTTCATCCTCGAAGCGGACGCGGAACTCGGTGAGAGCCGGGAAGAGGGGCGGGTGTGCGAGGTCGTGGCCTATTACCGGGATCGGCGCCTCGATGTTCGTGTCCGCGGTGTCCTGCGTGGCGAACAGTCTTCCATGTGGTCGCATGGATTCCGATGGATCTGAGGGGCCGTCGGTGAGGATCTCGTTGTAACCCCAGTGGAAGCAAACACAGATCCGTGTGGCGCCTGGAGGAGAGGACGTATATGTTCGGTAACAGGGTGTATGTTGCGAGAAGTGGGTTCTATGATGTGAACGTGTGCGCGAGTGGGGAACGAGAGGTGTTGAAACAGGTGGCGTACAAAGTCCCACTCACACTCGGAGAGGCTGAGGATGCGTAGATCTTCCAGCACCGTACCACCCTGTACGTGTTCTGGTGCTTCGTCGGCGGTATGGAGCATCGAGGATAAGAACAGATACACGATTTTGGTGAGGAGGCGATCAGCTGCAAGAGGTCTTGAAGGCGTGGACCCCGAAGCCGAATTTGATGTGAACATGAGTGAGTTGGGGTAGGGGTCTGGAGAGTGGTATGTTCATGTGAGCGAGGGCAAGGGCGCGTAGTTGTGATCCCGTGTTTCCGATGAAGTCGTCGTCGGTGAGGATGTAAGGCTTATTTTCGCCGTAAATTGGCGACTGCAAGGTGAGACTTTTGAGAAGAGGCGCCTCTAGAGGGAACAGGGTGTCAAAGCAAACTTGTATTATCTTTCTTTCGCCGCTCTCCGCATCGACTCGGAGGTTGACTATTCGAGCTTTAACTTGAGCATCAATCATCCTCAGGCTTGCACTGTCAGGTATGACGAGTAGAGACACTGGGGAGGAGTGGAGCGTTCGACGCAGTGTCGAAACCACTCATTCGAGGAATTTGAATGGAGGAAGGACCAGAAATGGGAAGCGGTCTGTATCGTTTGATGCCACGCCCGACAAACACGTGAGAGTCCGAGCAGTGTCTTCATACGAGACCGCTCTGAGACCTGACTTCTTCGCCGACCAACATTGTAGATCCATATGCTTCGCGAAGAGATTTTCGAATGGAAGGAGAGCGAGCTCGCATATGCTGAGGAACAGTTCTTCCGGGAGTTGGTTGATCTTCGCTCGTGAGTTCACCTCAGCCAGTATAGGTCCGGACACGTGTGAGTGGAGTGTGCACAGCTGCCGTCCAGGTAAATTTAAGCACATCACGAGTACAGAAGGACACCACTGACGTCTGCAATGCTGGCAATAATCGCATCAGTCTCCTCCGGACTTTACCACACTGTCTGCGAGCGCTCACCTCAATGTGGACAGGTCAATTGAGGTGTGTAGTTCCCGGTATCGTCTCGTAACGCTCTGAAGAGGCGACTCCATGGCGAATGAGGTGAGGAGAAGAGGCACCGTGGTGATCGTGGTGAGCGACAAAGGAGTCCGAGTGGCCACACGTCGCCGTCCACAACGTCTATCTTATCTTATCTAGCTACCATGTTCACATCGGTGCGATCGACGACACCTGCCTGGCTGTTCGCCAACTCCCACTTGGTACAAACTCACTATTCACAAGCCGGTTTTGGGCGGTCGAGAGGACCATCGACGGCGAAAGAGAGCGATTTCATGCACATCGCGGTGGGGAATCTCGCCAGAGTTGTACCGTTTCCGATCCGAACAATGAGGGTTGCAGGGAGACTTGGGGAAGCGCATCAGGGGAGTTTGAGAGTCGACGGCGTAATCGTTGTTCGCGCGGATGATGTAAAAGAAGGGCCAGGTGATAGGAATGAGCATAAGTACGGAAATCGGTTGGATTGCGAATCTGCGACGCATCAATTGCACGCCCGGGCGATCCATTGCACGCTGCGTGCGATATGTTTTTGGTCTGTGGATGGATAGAAACTCGAATAAGCTTGCGGCGCATGCACTTGTAGACTTCCAAAGCAGAGCAGTCAATGGCTCTCCCGGTGAGCCCCTATGGGGCCGGGGTTGTGCATAATCTAGGGGGTACGTAATGCATCACCACCCTCGTCGCTGTATGCTTCCACGGCAGCACGCGCACCCTGACACGGTGCTAAAGCATGGCCTTGGTCCCAACCACCGTTTGGAAATGGCTCGTAAGTACCAGGCCGTCGGGATGTTGAGGCCAACACCGATGAAAGCGGTTGGATGTCCTGCGACCATCGGCATACAATGGCAAGCACGGCCGGCACAAACGCGTAGTAGAGTTACACGAACGCCGAAGCATTGTATTGCGCGAAGACGACAATCACATCATGACCAGCGCGACAGTGGAGACCGCAGTGCCCGCAAGAACGGCGTACCCGGTCGAGTACGCGCCCTTGACTGTCATGACTGTCCCCCGAAAAGGCGCATGAGGAACGCAGTGCATGCACGCCAGAAGACAAGGAGGACTCACACTTGTTCATGTCCCACGCCAAGTGCCTGATACCGTTCAGGGAGTGGAATGCGAAGGGCGCAGCGAGGATCGTCTTGCCCGCGATCTTGACGGCCTCGGGCATGCTGCCGACAAACTCGATGACGTGCGCGGAGTCGAAGGTGCCGGGCGCGACGAGGTAGGCGAGCGAGAAGCCGTACAATACTGCCCGCCCGCGTTCAGCGCCGTGGTACGGTATAAGAACTTGAAAGCTGTTACTCACGGACGCTGAGACCGACGCCGGTCCCTCGGTTGACGATGGACGCGACCCATGTGAGCTGGGGCTGGTAGATGGTGAAATGGGGGCTCGATGGGCGGAGGAGGCGTTGCTTGTTCAGGATCTCCTGGGCAGCGGAGGGGGGAAGGGACTCGGTCTGGATGGTGCTGGCGGTCGAGAGCATGAATGAGCACGAGAAAGTCGGCGCATATAGGCAGCCGGGGACTCACCGGCGGGCAACAACGTTGCGGAGGGCGACTAGAGGGGGGGCGTGAGCGTGACGCAGGGCGCGTAGGAGAGCAAGAACGCACCATTTCTGGGCCTGAGAGCCGCCTGCCTGAGGGCGGGACCAAGACCGACGGCGCGGGCGGAGAGCATGGTGGGCGGAGGGGAGAAGGAGGTGTGCACGTCGAGCTCGTCGACGCGGGCGTTGTCGGCGCTCGGACTCGGACGCCCCTCGGCCGTGGGCCCAAAACGGCCGCGCCGTGATTGGCTGCCGCACATGTGATTCGCCCCGGACTCAGTTCTGTCGCCGTCAACCTCCGCAGGGATTGTCCGCTCATTACTTCTGGTACAAGTTGCGCATACATACCTGCACTGATGAACTGGTATACAGGAATATATCGGGGGGTCCAACTACAGAGCATCTCAAATACCACCCCCGCCTTAGATTACCATCAACCAAGCTAGGAATCGCTCCAGGAACCCAGTTGTCACGTACTCTTGCGGCGGTGGAGGAACATGCCCGCGGAAGAAGGTCATCTTATCCAATGGCATCATCTCCGTCTGCTTAATGAGCTTGTACCCGAATGTAAGCAGGACAAAGATAGGCTGGCCGAAGAGAGTCATGAGCCGGTAACCATCACGGACTGAACGTGAGATACGTACCAGTGGGATATATGACGAAAGGAACACTGAGACGGGTTGAGAGATCCTCTGGCTAGCGTCGTATGGAATGCTGTCGGAAAGCGTTTCCGCCACTTTCCATCCGTTGTGCACGAAAACAGACCTGCGAGCCAGTGAGTGGCGTGGTCCAAGAAGATCCTGCAGTCGCGTGAACATACCAGCCATTCGTGAAGAGAACGAGTATGCACATCCCGAAAGCGTACCATGCGAGCTAGGGGCGGCAAACCAAATGTACGTTAGCACCTTCCGCAGGCGAACGCGAACGCGAAGCGGCTCACGTATGGCTGCCCCCACTGCCGATGGATCTTGATCTGCTTTATCTGCGCCCTGGCCTCCTCCGCCTCGGGAGAAGTGTCCGCCGCCTTGAACCTCTTCTCGTAATACACCGTCCCCTGGTGCCATCTGAGGCACATTATCATCGTGAGCCACGCTACTCAGAGCCGAGAGTCGACACACGACGACGCACCGGATGTACGTGTACAGCATCCCCGCCCACGACTGCAGCGACGCCACGCTCGCCACGGAGACGAGCCAGTTGAACACCGTCGCCGCGCTGCCCGTGTTGTAGCTCAGGAACGTGAGGAGCCCGACGGACGCGCTCGCGAGCACGCTCGCGAGCGGCATCACGTACATCGGCTCGCTCCGCGGCACGACCTCCTCCCCGTGGGCCCTTCGCCCGGGGCCCGGGAGTTCGAGTGCAGCGGAAGCGGGACCTCGATGATAGACTCCCCCGTGTCGACTCCGTGTCCGAGTCGAGCTCGGAGTCGGACGCGTACGAGGCGGATGAGTCGGACTGGGCGGAGTGCACGGCGCGCGGGCGCGGGTAGCGGAAGAGGTGGGCGAGGAAGGTGGGCGCGTGGCCGCGGCGGGCGAGGAAGAAGAGGAAGCGGGAGGAGATGTAGATGTCCGAAGACGCGGCGGACCACGCGGAGACGAGGATCGCGGCGTTCAGCACGTCAGGGAGCTGCGCGCCGGGGCGAGATAAAAGTCAGCGCTAGCTGATGCGTGAGGTCAGGTCGACAGAGACGTACGACTTTCCATCCGGCACGTTTGAAGGCGATGACGAACGGGGAAGAAGCGCCGTTCTGGACGTCGGAGTTGAGGTCGCCGTCGTTAGCAGGGACGAGAAGGCCTGCCGCGAGGATGCCTCCTACGTAGAAGAGTGTGCTTCAGGCAGGGTCAGCTGGGGTTTATCGGTTGGAGTTGCACCAACAACACACATTCGAATCCATACTTTCCGTAGAGCACGCGGGACGTTCTGAATGACATGCATCAACATAAGCTAGAGTGACGGGAACTGATGAGGTTCACCCTTGAAGCATCTATGACTTCCCCGGCAGCCTGCCATCGCGCAGCAGGTGAGATTAAGGACTATAACGCAGTTCAACCGCATCACGTACGATACCAGGGACCTCGGAGCCAAAGAAAGAGAACGATGCTTGCATGATCACGGCGTAGAAGCCCAAGAAGCGGCCCAGTGCGCCGCCGATACCAAGATATTCTTTCGCAAAAGGCTGTTCAATCCAGTTGTGGAGTCCAATGACCCTAGATACGTGGGTCACTCAAATACTGGACTGTAGCAGATTAGTTCAAGTACTCACCCTTGATGGGATGCACCCAAGTCGATAAGAAGGCAAGATATAACTGAAACTGGATCAAAACAGTTCTTACGATGACGGCAGCAATGCGAAAATACTCGTACCGGTAACCACGATAGTGAGTACTTTCAAGAACGACAAGTAGAATTCCATTTCACCATAAACTCTGGATGGAAAGCAGTTGATAATTGTCGCCACCAGCAGCTGCCGGATATGAGACTTGGAAGGGCGAGAACTTGGGACTTGAACGCTTACAAACATGCCAGAAACGACCATCACGCTGGCCGAAATGTGAGGGAACGAATTCAACTAGGTATCAGGTATACGTACAGAGGTGTGGAGAGTGTCTTGTCCCAATAACCGATCACGAGTGCCGCGGCAGTGATCTCGGCGGCTGACCATATGTTGTAAGTTGGCAGATGCAGGGAAACGTGGAAGCAACGGGCGTACGCAAAGTGACACTCCAGTTATACTGTGGTCGCAATTAGTTCTCCGCAACAATATATTATATCAGGGGCAATAATATGTTGCACTCACCCATGCCGCCCAACCTAACGAGAACCCGAGCGCAGGATCGACATAAAGGTCTGCCAGGCCAACCACACCGCCCACGTTGGGTCTGGAGTATGCTCGTGAGACAATTTTCATGGTCTTGTGCCGAAAAAACTTACAAGAAGGCAATCATCTCACCCACAGAGGTGCACAGGCAATAAACCACGCTGCCCACGATCATGTATCCTATGAGAGCGCCGATTGGACCTCCGTTTTTGAGCGCTTCCTGGAGCCATGCACCAACTTTCAGCAGCGGAACGAGGGCAAGGCTCAGCCGTGTGGTCTTACCGCAGAGCCCAGGAACAGGCCGGTTCCAATGACACCGCCTATATTGGAACTTAGCACGCAGAGCGAGAGTCTGATGCAGACAAACGTACCAATGGATATCATTCCGACTGCACCCGCAACGTGAGCTCTAGATCGAGTGGCACCACAATGAACCAATGAGACGATACGCACTGTGCCTCCGAGATAGTTGGGGCGGTAGGTCGGTCTTGATTCGCTCCCATCTGTGTTGGAAGCGGAGGATACGTTCTCGTTGCTCCTGAAAGCGCGAGCGTGAAGGTCGACACGGGGGTTTCCTTGAACTCTACGCGCTTCTGATACCCTGCGGGCCGCTCTCGCAAGTGTGCGGCATTGAAGGTAGCAGCCATCGTCGCGACGACCCTAAGAGAAGAAAGATGAGTTGGTGAGCAAAAACGGGCCCGAGTGCGTGCAAGGCAGGTCCAAGCCAGCTACTTGGGTGGAGGCAATAAAGAGCGATGCACGGAGTCGTCACCCTGCGGTGAAAGCTCTATCAGTCAGTGTGGGGCACGGGAGCGAGCGCCTGGTGTCAGCTGGGATATGAACAGCTGCACGGGTTCGCGCAGCCGATGTACGTATGTCCGACAGGCAGTCGGAGATTCAGGAACGGTTCACGCACTGGCACTTATCTAGCCTAACTCGGGCTTGGCTGAGCTCCTTGAAAGTTCATATCCATATGCAACATACAGGGACCATCTGAAGCCAGACGGCCGGTCAGGTTCCACGAAATGCCTGGCAGCTGGCATGGGTCCTGTGAATGAGACGAGGAGGCTGAAGGGAAAACCGCCGGTTCGCCGTGCTCCACGTGGGAGTATTGGAAGATTGACGCCCACAGGAGTCAGCGATAACGGGCAGCACTTGCACAGGTCACCTTCAAGTGGGTCACCGCGCACAGTGGGAGACGAGGTATCACAACACTGCCCTCTGAAACGCGGTGCAACTCGCCTTTTTGAGTACTAAGGAAAGACATGGTGAAAGGTCCGTGATGATTTGGTGATGGTACTCTGCTCTGATAGTTGCCTAGTGTGGATGCCACTCGGAGGCACATCGCTCCCGCCCACACCCGAGCCTTCCGCTTCAGTCTCTGGGATCAAACCAATCACTTTAAAGACAGCCGGTGGCGCGTACCCAGTCCTTTCTCTCTCTCCTCCTATCCCTCGCACCTCAGCTTCATCCTTCACCCCCATGTTCTGACACGCAGTCAATGTGGTGTAACCAAACCCTTCAAGTCCTCCAAGACTCTTCCTTGGCCGCCGCCATCTGTTCCGTCTCAGAGAGCAGTGAACAATGTACGGCTATTTGCCCCAATCCGGACCTGTCAGGAATAGGCGTTCGCGTCGCTTTCTATCTCCAGAGTTTCTTGAACAGTAAGTGTCATGCGCTGACCTTTTCGCATGCCCGATGAAAGCAAGGACTGTCCTGGACCCCGCTGGTGTACGAGGACTTGGGCGTGCTATGGTGGTCTCGAACGTCTCTTCATCGCACCCACACGCTGACCCGCCTTGCAGCTCTCTTGGTCATTTTCTCGCGTACGGATTCGGTGCCCAGCACTTGGGCCGCTACGCTCCTCACCGGCGCGCTCGTCATTGCGGCCATAGTCCAGAAAGTCAACGGGACGATCACGCTGCATCATGCCATTCTGACCATGAAGTAAGTGGTGCCCTCGCTGCTTGCAGTCCCCTTACCAATGCGTCTCGCTGCGCAGTTTTGCCACCATCTCTTGCATCGGCTCTCTCGCGGTCGCCCCCACCTTGTCCATCTGGCGGCTCACCCCGAAAGAGTACTACAAGCAACAGCTGTCCCGAGACGTGCTCGAAGACGACGATGCGGACGCCCAACAGCGCATGATTGGACAGGCAGTTGAAGAGATCACTGTCCGGCACCGGAAGCGCATCGCGCGCGCCCAAAGTCGACAGCGCGTCATCCTCGCCCTCGCGCTCCTCACCCAGGTCGTCCTCCAGTGGGCGTGGGGCATCGTGCTCTTCGTGTCGCCGTCGTACAGCCAGAGGAACTGCTCGGGGGAGACGCGCCTCGTCTTCTTCGTCGCCGCGACCTTCACCGCGCAGGACCTCAACGACCACATGGGAATCTGGGTCACTTGGTTGCTGTTCTCTCTCGGAATCACAATGTTCATGACCATCATGCTCGCGCTGAGCAGTCCCACCCGTGCTCGCCCGTCACCCGCGTCTTCCATCGCGACGTTCAGGTCGACGTCCACTGGGCCAACGCACACGCCGGTGTACAGACAAGTCCTCGAAGGCGTGTGGAGGTCAATACCGACGTGGCATGACAAGTCTGCCCAGAAGATCTTCTGGTACAACGTTCTCTCCGTTTTCCTATGGCTGGCCTACATCATAGGTGCGTCCTTCCTTCCCGTCCGTCCCCAGCGCTGCTCATATCCCATCTAGCGACCGAGCGACAGATCCAAGAGAACTGCCTGTTCCAGGGCGAGAACGTCATCAGCAGCTTCGGCCAGGTAAGCCTCGTCCTCCCTCCGCTCGCCGCCTCCTAACGCCGCCTCGCCCCAGATCACCGCTCTCCTCCTCTCGCTCGCCCCAATCTGGTCGCTCACCGTCGCGCTCTACAAGTGGCCCGCGCTCCAGCGCCGCCTCGAGCGCCAGCGACGGCGCGAGCTCCTCCGGCGGCACTCCCTCCCCACCATCGTCCTCCCCATCACCACGGTCGCCGCCCCCGGCTTCGGAGCCCCTGACATCGGGCTCGACCAAGGACACCTCTCCCCGCACGCCTCCCCCGACTGCGACGGGGACGGCGGGGCTTCGAGCGCGCGAACGAGCACGAGCGACCTGAGCGCCGCGCCGTCCAGTCCCCCTGGCGTGGTCATCCCGCCGCCCACGGGCACGGTCGGCGCGCACGGGGACCGCGAGCGTGCACGCGCGCCGCGGCGCCGCGGCCCTCGACGGCGGCACGCGGTCGCGCCCACGCTGGACGTGGTGCTCCCGCGCACGCCGACGTTCGAGTGGCGGGAGATGGAGACGTTCCCCGGTCCGTCCCGCTGAGCGTGGGCCGGGGGACGCCGCGGTCTCTCGATTTTGGACTTTTCCGTTCACACATGTTCGCGCCGCGCCTCCTGTTCGCAGTCGCGCCCGCCCAGAGAGCGGGCGCGAGTTCTGGCGGGGCGCGTTCTTCTGCTTCGGATTCTTCTTGGAGAATGTATCTGTATTCATGATCATACGTGCACCATTCTTTGCCCATATACCTAGACACGACCTCGTGTAGAACTATCATCTGTACTCCGAATATTAATGCTACCACATTGCTCCGTGCCCCGGGATGATCCTCCGAAATGCAGCGTGTCGCTCAACGCCAAAACCGGCCTGTAATTCGCATCTGCAACATCTCGAGATATCCGACTTCCTCTGAACAATCGAAGCTGGTGGACGCTTCTGAGGACCGGGGCGCGCGCCCACCAATCAATTGTGTCTCCCATAGCCAGGTCCGTCCCACGCGCACGCCACGGGAAGTCGTTCGCCCTTTCGCGACTGGACATCTGCATGCACTGAACCGAAAGGTGGCCGCCGCGGGGCGCGGTATTTGGCAGATGGTCGTAGTGGCGCACGTCGTCTGTGTGTACAGTGTGTGTGCGCGCGCCAGTATTTGGATGCACCGCGCAGGCACGACCGTACGAGGAGGGCCCTGCTGGCGGGCTCGAGCGACTCGAGCGGACGATCGCGAAGTTCCACGCGCAAGAGTCAGCGCTTCAGCGCGGCTCGTCATAACATAACCGGGACCTCCCGTATGTTCCTCTGGTGGCGTACATAAGTCCGCGACACGAGCGTGGGTTCCATGAATTCAATTGGTCTGGCGCTGACGCCCCCGGCCTGCGCGGACACCCCGGATGCAGAGGGCCCGAGTGCGCAGGTCGCCGGTCAGGGACGCTGCGCCCGTGCGCGGACGGTGGGCGGGTGTCCGCGTGTGTCTACGGATAGAACGCGAATCGGGGCTCGGCGCGTCCTCCTTGAAGACACCGAAGGCGACGTGCGACCGGCGGGTAAGTAAGTATGTGCGAAAGAATCGGCGTCCGGCCGAGGACAGTCGCGCTTCGCGCCCGGACCGGACGCGGGCCGGCGAGCGGGAGCAGCGGTGCGGAAAGTTCGGAGAGTGTGTCACACGACGGGAAAGGCCAGATGGGAAGCGCCGGAGTAGGACTTTCACCAGGCTGAGGCCATGTTCCATGTCACGGTCACGGCCTTTGTCTGGTGTGCGCAACACCAGACAAAGACCAGGAATCATGGTCACACCATGGTCTCAACCTGGCCTTCGTCAGTCTCGGCTCCAGACGCTCTAACGCCGCGCGCCCAACACACTCCTGAGAAATCTACCTTTTTGCGGTTCTCGTTCCCTCCTGATTTGGTGCTCCCTCCCTCCACGCTCTATTATATAATCACCTTACATCGAGGCCAGGCTGAGACCATGGTGTGACCATGATTCCTGGTCTTTGTCTGGTGTTGCGCACACCAGACAAAGGCCGTGACCGTGACATGGAACATGGCCTCAGCCTGGTGAATGCCCTGTTTCGGCGTTTACCATCTGGCCCTTCCCGTCGTGTCATGTCATTACGGCGTGAGTGAACGAAGCGTGCGACGTGCGTACGTATGTAGATGAAATGTGGCAAGCGACAGCGCGGACTCGTGAGCGGCATTATAGTGAGGATGGCGTAGGCGACGTGCAAAATGATTACACGGAGACAAGACATGCGGTCTACAACATGAGGAGACACGGGGGTCGTACGAGGGGGCGGCGGGAGTGCGCGGGGGTAAATTACAAATAAAGATACGGATACACTGCGGGATATGGGGCGTGCACGGATGAGAGCGAGACGACAGCGAAGAGAGCAGCTTACACAGGCAGATTCGACGGAGCATGAAGGGGCGTGAAGAGAGACACGGAGACACAGGGCACAAAAGCCCAGCCAGAATGGAAGAGAGCGCAGAATAGAAGGAGCAAAGCGAGACGCGCGACGGTGCCGCACTATACCCGCGCGGAGAGCTGGCGGTCGAGCGTTAAGCGCGCCCAGACGAGGAAGAGCGACCCGCCGACGACGGCCGACCCGCCGAGAATCATCATCCCGAGGAAACTGCCCCCATTCGCCTTGAGGATCGCGCCCGCGCGGGGCCTCCACACAACGCTCTGTAACGCACGAGTCCAGGTCAGCCTCGAGCGACCAGGCACAGCGACAGGGCCAGGGGATTACGCACGGGACGGAGATGATGGTATACAGCACGCCGACGCGTGTGCCGATCTCGCGAATGTCCGAGATCTGGGCGACGACGGGGATGACCAGCGCGTTGAACGCCCCGCTGAAGAAGCCGTACACCGCCGCGAACAGCATGATCGCGACCAGGCTCGTCGCGAACGGCCAGAACAGGAGCATCGACAGCCCCGTGAACAGGGCGCAGGGGATTATGATGTTGAAGCGGCCGAGGGCGTCGGAGAGCACGGGCGGCACGAGGCGTCCGAGGATCCCGCCTGCGTTCATGACGGAGAGCACATAGAAGGCCGTCTGCGGCGCCACTCCGTGGGCGGTGGAATAGTCGACGATGTAGAAGAAGGGGATGAAGAGGCCTGTAGGGCGCGCGCGGAGTCAGTGCGGGCTGACGAAGTGTAGGGGTAACGAGACGCGTACCGAGGCAGACGAGGATGCTCCCGACGATGACGAGCATGAAGGTGAAGTCGCGGAAGATCTTCAAGTCCAACATCGGTGCGCTCTCGCGCTGAGCCTTGGGGCCTTGGACAGATTGCTCGACACCATCGCGATGGCGATCCCGCAGAGCGCGAGTGTGGCAAAGCCAGTGATGCGCACGGTCCACGCGAAACCGACGTGCGCGAAGAGCTGTTGGTACATGATCGGCCACACGACTCCGCCCACGCCGGAGCCTGCGAGGGCGACCCCGAGCGCGGTGCTGCGGTACTTCTGAAAGTACGTGGAGATGGCTGCCAAGCCGGGATAGAATCTGAGGAACGGCACATGTCAGTTCCCGGAGGACGTGAGCACTTGACACCGCACTGCTTACACCGCCCCAATGCCGACTCCGACGAGGATACCTTGTGCGAGGATGAACTGGTAGTATTGGCTGGACAGGCTCGTCATCATCGTGCCGAAGACGAGAATGAGAGTTCCGATGATCATGATTGGCCGTGGGCCAAACGCATCAAATAGGCGTCCAACAAACCCGCCCTTGATATGAATGAGCACGACAGACACACGAGTCATGCATGTCAGGCACGTACGGAGAAGAAGAAGACCCATAGCTGCAGAGAGCCGATCCATGAGATCGTGGAGGCAGGCAGGTGCTGGAGCTGGTGGTCTTCGTAAACCGCTTGGAATGTGCCGAATGAGTTGAGCTGGCCGAAGGAGCAGAACAAAGCGAGGAAGGCGCCGAGGACAGTGAGCCACGCGTGGAGACCACCGTCCGGGAATGGGGAGGAGACGGAGTGGGCTTGTGTGCTCTGTGCGTCCACCGCGGTGTCCGAGAGAGTCGCGGAAGACTGTCTGGGCCCGGTATACTCGTTGATATCGACCTTCTCGATGTCGGTCATGGCGAGCGGTGGGGGAGCGGAGATGAGAGGACCGCCTGTGGGGACGAGGAGGGAGGGCGCGCGGGGGCGGTGACAGAAAATGCGGGGATTTTATCTGGGCGCGAGCTGTGCGCCGGACTGCGTCCAGCGACCGCGGAGAGGACGTCATGGAGCGAACCGAGGGCGATCCGGAGAGACAACCGGCGATGACTCGGGGCAGGGACGGGGCGGCCGGGCGGCTGGAGATTGGCATTAGACGGGCAGCGCCTTGTCGGATTCCATTCCGAGAGCGTTGCATTTCAGCGCGGCGGGGGGCGCCAGGTGGGGGGCGGGAAGGGGGAAGGTCAAGGAATGGAGGACGATTGGTGCAACTCCGCGAACGGCGGGGCGAACTCAGCCAGTCAATCTGCCACCGGTGGGAACGACGCAGCCATTGACAAAAGCCGCGCCTCGCCGGGAACGCACTTACGGCCTGCTTCTGCGGGTTCTTGGCGCTACGCTCGCATCGCGGGCAAGCGACCTCCCGCGTCCGGAGGAAGGTGGCCACAACATCACCAACCGCTGAACCGTCTCTTGCCGCGGCGTCCGAGGTGGCCCATGTTCATAGGCTCGCGATGTTGCGTGAGGGGTGTCAATTATGCTTGGAATTTGGAGTACGCGTCGAGGAAGCGATGGTGAGGAGGACAGCCCGCACGCTGGCTGAAGTCACTTTGACTCAAACTTTGACGAGGGCGAGAGACGGTGTGGATGGTGACCAAGGCAGAGCCACCCGAGATTGAGATCCGCTCACCGCACCCGGCTTCACCTGGCGCCACGTCCCGGCGCCAATCGCTCTTGCTCTTTGCTTTATACTTACCACCTAGGACGAGTTCCCTCAAGACACTGCACGAGACATGGCTCAGAGAGCAAGACATCCGGAGGGAAATAAGGCCCATGTTCTAGCTGCTCAACACCGCCCGCTGCTCGTCCCACATCTCTGGTCTCGCTAACTTAGTCACCTCCTGGTGGCATACGGCTTGTACCGCCCCCATCCACACCAGCAATTTGTCAATCGCGCTTGCAAGCTCGTCGTGGCATCCCTCTGTCGGTGCACGCAAACGCGCAAGTGTTGCTCCACGCGCAGGCCACGCTCTCCGGCTACTAACCGTGCCCTCCCGCCCCGGGGTATATGAAACTTACCGCGACACACGGAAGCCTCAAATGCGCCGGTCTGATTGTGCGCTCAACACGAAGCGACGCCGCGGGCATGCCGGACTTTTCACCACAACTCGGATCCGTGGCCCAGTGCGCGAACACGGGATCCATCACCTGACAAGGTGGAGGACGGCACGCCACGGGTCGGCCTGCGCGATGTCGACGCTGCGGTTCTCCGTGGGTCCGCCCCGTCTCGGAGGGGCGAAGAGCGCATCATCTTGGCAACCCCCGGCGCCCCGAAGTGCACGAAAACGAACACGGGTTGTGGCGGTCTTCTTCGAACGTGTCCATCCTGCACCCATTCCCCGACCAATGCACCCATTAGGTACTCGGGCAACGCGCAATGGACGTGGTTGTCTTGATGCTACCAAGCAGTGACTGAGCGCGATCCCCCGACGCCGTAAGTACCTCCGATGGACTTCGGCGTACACTTGGCCAGGATCTGGCGGCATGGCATACAGATGGGTAAATACTTACTCCAGCATGCACATTTAGATCCTCGAGTCCGAACGGAGAGAGCACCACGTCCCCCCTTGAAGCAGCACTAATGCTGACGTCCGACGGGCTCGGTGAAGCCTTTGACTGGGCTGTCCTCTGGGCTATGTGCAGTGCTGGTTTATCATGTGTTCTGGTTGGGCATGCGTATCTTCGGCGCAGGTCTAGGAATTCAGGGCGCGATCTGACCCTGTACTGTCGAGGTGGACATGTTGATGTGCTTCTCACGCTACGGACGCGGGTGTGCATCTTGATGATGTTGCCCGAGACGGCGTGGTGGGAGTATATGTCGGAGATGGGGACGGACGAGGAGAGCACGGAGGGGGAACATGATGGAGGTGCTAAAGGTTGGTGGGGGCGGCCATACGTGAGCCCCTTCGCGTTCGCGTTCGCCTCAGGCGGAGGGTGCTGACGTACACTTATTTGGCCGCTCCTAGCTCGCGTGGTACGCTTTCGGGATGTGCATACTCGTTCTCTTCACGAGTGGCTGGTATGTTAGCGCGACTGCAGGGTCTTATTGGACCATGCCACTCACTGGCTCGCAGGTCTGTTTTCGTGCACAACGGATGGAAGGTCGCGGAAACACTTTCTGACAGCAGTCCGTACGACGCTAGCCAGAAGATATCTCAACCCGTCTCAGTGTTCCTTTCGTCGTATATCCTACTGGTACGTCTCACGCTGTGATGGTTACCGGCTCATGACTCTTTGGCTAGCTAATCTTTGTTCTACTTACATTCGGGTACAAGCTCATCAAGCAGACGGAGATGATGCCATTGGATAAGATGACCTTCTTCCGCGGGCATGTTCCTCCACAGCCGCAAGAGTACGAGCCTACTGGGTTCCTAGAGCGATTCCTAGCTTGGTTGATGGTAATCTAAGGCGGGGGTGGTATGCGAGATGCTCTGTAGTTGTACCCCCCGATATATACCCGCATACAACCCATCTATCAGTGCAGTTATGTGTAAAACTTGTGCCAGACGTGCGCCATCGCGAGGGGTCCGCTGCGGACTCGGAGGTAGACGGCGCTGTCGGGGCCCAAATGAGGGGCGAATCACATGCACGGCAGCCAATCACGGCGCGGCCGATGGGCGTCCGAGTCCGAGCGTCGACAACGCGCGCGTCGACAAGCTCGACGAGCACGCCTCCTTCTCCCCTTCGCCCACCATGCTCTCCGCCCGCGCCGTCGGTCTTGGTCCCGCCCTCAGGCAGGCGGCTCTCAGGCCTAGAAATGGTGCGTTCTTGCTCTGCGTCACGCTCACGCCCCTCTAGTCGCCCTCCGCAACATTGTTGCCCGCCGGTGAGTCCCTGGCTGCCTATATGCGCCGACTTTCTCGTGCTCATTCATGCTCTCGACCGCCAGCACCATCCAGACCGAGTCCCTTCCCCCCTCCGCTGCCCAGGAGATCCTGAACAAGCAACGCCTCCTCCGCCCATCGAGCCCCCATTTCACCATCTACCAGCCCCAGCTCACATGGGTCGCGTCCATCGTCAACCGAGGGACCGGCGTCGGTCTCAGCGTCCGTGAGTAACAGCTTTCAAGTTCTTCTACCGTACCACGGCGCTGAACGCGGGCGGGCAGTATTGTATGGCTTCTCGCTCGCCTACCTCGTCGCGCCCGGCACCTTCGACTCCGCGCACGTCATCGAGTTCGTCGGCAGCATGCCCGAGGCCGTCAAGATCGCGGGCAAGACGATCCTCGCTGCGCCCTTCGCATTCCACTCCCTGAACGGTATCAGGCACTTGGCGTGGGACATGAACAAGTGTGAGTCCTCCTTGTCTTCTGGCGTACATGTACTCCGTTCCTCATGCACCTTTTCGGGGGACAGTCATGACAGTCAAGGGCGCGTACTCGACTGGGTACGCCGTTCTTGCGGGCACTGCGGTCTCCACTGTCGCACTGGTCATGATGTGATTAGTCGTCTTCGCGCAATGCAATGCTTCGGCGTTCGTGTAATTCTACTACGCGTTTGTGCCGGCCGTGCTTGCCATTGTATGCCGATGGTCGCAAGACATCCAACCGCTTTCATCGGTGTTGGCCTCAACATCCCGACGGCCTAGTACTTACGAGCCATTTCCAAACGGTGGTTGGGACAAAGGTCATGCTTTAGCACCGTGTCAGGGTGCGCAGTGCGTGCTGCCGTGGAAGCATACAGCGACGAGGGCGGTGATTGCATTACGTAACCCCCTAGATTATGCACAACCCCGGCCCCATACTAGCGGTTCACCGGGGAGAGCCATTGACTGCTCTGCTTTGGAAGTCTACAAGTGCATGCGCCGCAAGCTTATTCGAGTTTCTTACCCATCCACAGACCAAAACATATATCGCACGCAGCGTGCAATGGATCGCCCGGGCGTGCAATTGATGCGTCGCAGATTCGCAATCCAACCGATTTCCGTACTTATTGCTCATTGCCGTATCACCTGGCCCTTCTCTTTATACATCATCCGCGCGAACAACGATTACGCCCGTCGACTCTCAAACTCCCCTGATGCGCTTCCCCAAGTCTCCCTGCAAACCCTCATTGTTTCGGATCGGAAACGGTACAACTCTGCGAGATTCCCCACCGCGATGTGCATGAAATCGCTCTCTTTCGCCGTCGATGGTCCTCTCGACCGCCCAAAAAACCGGCTTGTGAATAGTGAGTTTGTACCAAGTGGGAGTTGGCGAACAGCCAGGCAGGTGTCGTCGATCGCACCGATGTGAACATGGGTAGCTAGATAAGATAAGATAGACGTTGTGGACGGCGACGTGTGGCCACTCGGACTCCTTTGTCGCTCACCACGATCACCACGGTGCCTCTTCTCCTCACCTCATTCGTCATGGAGTCGCCTCTTCAGAGCGTTACGAGACGATACCGGAACTACACACCTCAATTGACCTGTCCACATTGAGGTGAGCGCTCGCAGACAGTGTGGTAAAGTCCAGAGGAGACTGATGCGATTATTGCCAGCATTGCAGACGTCAGTGGTGTCCTTCTGTACTCGTGATGTGCTTAAATTTACCTGGAACGGTAGCTGTGCACACTCCACTCACACGTGTCCGGACCTATACTCGCCGAGGTGAACTCACGAGCGAAGATCAACCAACTCCCGGAAGAACTGTTCCTCAGCATATGCGAGCTCGCTCTCCTTCCATTCGAAAAATCTCTTCGCGAAGCATATGGATCTACAATGTTGGTCGGCGAAGAAGTCAGGTCTCAGAACTGGTCTCGTATGAAGACACTGCTCGGACTCTCACGTGTCTGTCGGGCGTGGCATCAAACGATACAGACCGCTTCCCATTTCTGGTCCTTCCTCCATTCAAATTCCTCGAATGAGTGGTTTCGACACTGCGTCGAACGCTCCAGCTCCTCCCCAGTGTCTCTACTCGTCATACCTGACAGTGCAAGCCTGAGGATGATTGATGCTCAAGTTAAAGCTCGAATAGTCAACCTCCGAGTCGATGCGGAGAGCGGCGGAAGAAAGATAATACAAGTTTGCTTTGACACCCTGTTCCTCTAGAGCGCCTCTTCTCAAAAGTCTCACCTTGCAGTCGCCAATTTACGGCGAAAATAAGCCTTACATCCTCACCGACGACGACTTCATCGGAAACACGGGATCACAACTACGCGCCCTTGCCCTCGCTCACATGAACATACCACTCTCCAGACCCCTACCCCAACTCACTCATGTTCACATCAAATTCGGCTTCGGGCCCACGCCTTCAAGACTCTTGCAGCTGATCGCCTCCTCACCAAAAATCGTGTATCTGTTCTTATCCTCGATGCTCCATACCGCCGACGAAGCACCAGAACACGTACAGGGTGGTACGGTGCTGGAAGATCTACGCATCCTCAGCTCTCCGAGTGTGAGTGGGACTTTGTACGCCACCTGTTTCAACACCTCTCGTTCCCACTCGCGCACACGTTCACATCATAGAACCCACTTCTCGCAACATACACCCTGTTACCGAACATATACGTCCTCTCCTCCAGGGCGCCACACGGATTTGTGCCTTCTTCCGCTGGGATTACAACGAGATCTTCATCGACGGCCCCTCGGATACATCGGAATCCATGCGACCGCGTGGAAGACTGTACGCCACGCAGGAGAACGCGGACACGGACGTCGACTCGGCGCCGATCCCGGTGATAGGCCACGACCCCGCACACCCGCCCCTCTTCCCGGCTCTCACCGAGTTCCACGTCCGCTTCGAGGGTGATGAGTCGGACCGACTCCAGGACGACGGCTCGACCTTCGTGCGGCTGTTGGAGCACATGCCCCTCTTGGAGACGCTGGTGGTCGACTTCAGCGAGGCGTACGAGACGGTGGACATCGAACCCCGTGTGTTCTCCGTCGTCCTGGCGCTGCTCCTCGACGCCCTCGCCGCGTCCTCGCCCGCGCTGTGCCTTGCACTCCGCGCCGTCGTGATCGACTTCGGGCAGCGCAGGCGCTGTGATCGGCCTGAGCTCAACAGGGGATGGCGGAGTCTGCTCGACGGTCGCGCGGTGCTTCGTAGGACGGAGGCCGTCCGGTCATGATCTCTGCGGAGTTCGTGTGCTTCGATGCGGCGAAGGTGCATATCATGCGGAGCGACTTCCCGCCGTTGGACCCGATGAATCGCACGGGCAGGCGGGACGGTGCAGGCCGTCCGCGGTGGATGAAAACACACGGGCCGTGGGACGAACGTAACTGGTATCCGCCCCTCGGGGAGCCGTGGCTTTTGGAGGACTTGGACGGGATCGGAGAATACTGGTATGCCGACGGTATCATGGGCGAGTTTGGTCACGTCGATAGGTATTAAAGCCGCCTAGGGGCACGTACGTGTCGACGCCGTTTGTCGAAATCGAACGTCTGCCTCGTTCTTCTGGCTCACTCGCCCGCGAGATGTGCGAGGTCCACCGGTACCGCCGTTCGCCCGTCCCCCCACGTCGGCCTTCCGACCGTCATATGCGGCAGTGAAAAGCCCTTGTGGACCGTGCGGTTGACGGCGTGCGGATCCACGCGCGCGTCCTGTGCGCTTCGCGCTCGGACCACGCGCGCGGCGAGAGGTTCTGGGAGGGTGTCATGTCATTATATCATGAGTGAATGAAGTGTGCGACGCGCGTACGTGAAAGCGACAGCGCGAGCTCGTAAGCGGCATTATAAAGAGGATAGCACAGGGTTTGTGGAATATGGTGCGATGGCACAGCAGTCTACAACACGAGGAGAGATGGGGATTCGTACGGGGCCGAGGGGAGCGTGAGGGGGAGGTAATTTACAAATAATGATACGGATACACTGCGGGGGTATGGGCGTACGGGTGAGAGCGAAACGACAGCGGAGAGAGCAGCTTACACGGGCGGATTCGACAGAGCGTGAGGGGCGCGAGGAAGGACATGGAACGAGAACGGAAGAGAGGGCAACGAGAACGGAAGAGAGGGCAACGAGAACGGAAGAGAGGGCAACGAGAACGGAAGAGAGGGAAAAATAGAAAACGCGGACGGGTGCCACGCTATATACGCGCGGAGAGCTGGCGGCTGAGCGTCGTGCGCGCCCAGAGGAGGAAGAGCGAGCCGCCGACGACGGCCGACCCCCCGAGGATCATCATCCCGAGGAAACTGCCCCCGTTCGCCTTGAGGATCGCGCCCGCGGCAGGGCCTCCGCACAACGCTCTGCAACGCACGCGAGAGTCCAGGTCAGCCTCGAACGACCGAAGCGGAGAGGGGACTACGCACGGGACGGAGATGATAGAATACAGCACGCCGATGCGCGTCCCGATCTCGCGAATGTCCGAGATCTGGGCGACGACGGGGATGACCAGCGCGTTGAACCCCCCGCTGAAGAAGCCGTACACCGCCGCGAACAGCATGATCGACACCAGGCTCGTCGCGAAGGGCCAGAACAGGAGCATCGACAGCCCCGTGAACAGGGCGCAGGGGATTATGATGTTGAAGCGGCCGAGGGTGTCGGAGAGCACGGGCGGCACGAGGCGTCCGAGGATCCCGCCTGCGTTCATGACGGAGAGCACGTAGAAGGCCGTCTGTGGCGCGACGCCGTGGGCGGTGGAATAGTCGATGATGTAGAAGAAGGGGATGAAGAGACCTGCAGGGCGCGCGTCGAGTGAGTGCGAGTCAACGAAGCGTAGTCTAGCAAGGAGACGCGTACCGAGGCATACGAGGATGCTCCCGACGACAATGAGCATGAACGTGAAGTCGCGGAAGATCTTCAAGTCCAATATTGGTGCGCTCTCGCGCTGGGCTTTGGGTTTCTTGGACAGATTGCTCGACACCATCGCGAGGGCGATTCCACATAGCGCGAGCGTGGCGAAGCCGGTGATCCGCACGGTCCACGCGAACCCGACGTGAATGAAGAGCTGTTGGTACATGATTGGCCACACGACTCCACCCACGCCGGAGCCTGCGAGGGCGATCCCGAGCGCGGTGCTCCGATACTTCTGAAAGTATGTGGGGATAGCTGCCAGGCTGGGATAGAAACTGCGGGACAGCCCGTGTCAGTACGCGTCGGACACGAGCGGTGGACATCAAATTGCTCACACAGCCCCAATGCCGACTCCAACGAGGATACCTTGTGCGAGGATGAACTGGTAGTATTGGCTGGACAGGCTGGTCATCATTGTGCCGAAGACGAGAATGAGAGTTCCGACGACCATGATTGGCCGTGGGCCGAACGCATCAAATAGACGTCCAACAAACCCGCCCTTGAGATGAATGAGCGTCACGGGCACACGAGTCATGCATGCCAGGCACATACGGAGAAGAAGAAGACCCATAGCTGCAGAGATCCGATCCATGAGATGGTGGAGGCGGGCAGGTGCTGGAGCTGGTGGTCTGCGTAAAACGCTTGGAAGGTACCGAAGGAGTTGAGCTGGCCGAAGGAGCAGAACAAGGCGAGGAAAGCGCCGAGGACAGTGAGCCACGCCGGTAGACCACCGTCCGGGAAAGGGGAGAAGACGGAGTGGGCTTGTGTGCTCTGTGCGTCCACCGCGGTGTCGGAGAGTGTCGCGGAAGACTGTCTGGGCCCGGTATACTCGTTGATGTCGACCTTCTCGATGTCGGTCATGGCGGGCGGCGTCTAGTTGGGGGAGGGGGGTGGAGAGGAGGGAGAGCGGGGCGCGGTGGTAGAAAATGCGGGGATTTTATCTGGGCGCGAGCTGTGCGCCGGACTGCGTCCAGCGACCGCGGCGAGGACGTCATGGAACGAGCCGAGGGCGATCCGGAGAGACGTCCGGCGATGGGTCGGGGCAGGCGGCTGGGGATTGGCATTGGACGGGCAGCGCCTTGCCGGATTCGAGTCCTCGAGCGTTGCATTTCAGCGCGGCGGGGCGCAGGCGGGGGGCGGGAAGAGGGACGGTCAGAGAATGGGGCGCGATAGGTCCGCGAACGGCGGGGCGAATCTGCCAGCTGTGGGAACGTCGCCGCCATCGACAAAGCCGCGCCTCGCCGGGGACGCAGAGAGGATCGAGGATGGGCAAGCGACCTGTGCCGCTTCAGCAGTATTTCCGAGTCGTCCGGAGGAATGTGGCCGTAACATCACCCGTCTCTTGCCACGTCCGACTCGACGATCCACGTTCGCAGGCTCGCGATGTTGCGTGACCCAATTGTACTTGGAGCTCGAGGAAGCGATGGCGAGGAGGACGGCCCGCGGCGGATGGTGTGGCCACGATGGTTGTGGCAGGACTTTGACGGAGAAGGCAGAGCCACCGCGCGCGGCCGCGCCCCGCTTCTGTCGGCGCCACGGGGCCAGGCGCCAACTGCGCTTGCTTCTTCCCTCCTGCCCGGATGAGTTCACCCAAGAGACTGCACAAGATATGGACCACAGAGCGAGAAGCATGCTGTGGATGCGGCCCATGTTCTACCTGTCCGACACCGCCGCTGCCCGTTTTGTGGTCTCACTAACTGCGTCGCCTTCCATGCTGACTGTACCGCCCTCAGCCACATCTTGTCACAATTGCGCTTGTAAAGCTCGTCATGGAACCCCTCCGTTGACGCCGCTCCGGATGCATTGCTCGACCTCGTGGTGATGGTGCGCGCAAAAGCGCAAGTTGGACGGTTTGCTCCTGCACGCGGTCCGGCTACAAACCGTGCACCTCCGCCCCGGGGTATATGAAACTTACCGGCGAACAGAAGCCTCGAATCCACCGGTTCCATCGCGCGCTCACCGCGAAGCGACGCCGCGAGCAAGCCGGACTCTCTCGGATCCGCGCGCGCGGCCAGCGCGCGAACACAGGATCCATCACCTGACAAGGTGGAGGACGGCACGCCAAGATATCGACGTTGCGGTTTGTGCGGGTCCGCCCCACGTCGGAGGAGCACAGAGCGCATCATCATGGCAACCCCGGCGCCCCGAAGTGCACGAAAGCGAACACGAGGCCATCTCCGTCGCATCCTTCGAACGAAGCGATCCACCTCCATCCCAGAGAGTGCCACAGTTCAACCTCTGTTATTGAGCCTCGCGCGCGCACAGTTCCGCGTTCCGCGCGAGTTCGTCCGGAGGCAACGTCAATTCCCGGCTCACCCCCGGTATGTAACACTCAAGTACAGTCAAACCCCTCATAGTGCATACCCCTCGGGAAGGCCCCCGAGGTATGCGTTATGTGGGGGTATGCAGTATGAGAGAAGCGCTCATCGTGGGAGACCCATTGACGCCCTTCTGCAGGGCGCCCTTTTGGCTGCTGGCGCGCGCATTAATCCTCACGCGCGCATTCCTCGTGCGCACATTCCTCCCGTTTGTTATCTGACCTCGCCCCCCCTACATAGCCTACATACGAGTGAAGTAATCAATGACTGCGAGATGATTTCCCCAGCCTGAAGAGAAGCTTGAAGGGCCGTTTGGCGCTCTTTCATCCACTTCTCGAGGACAGCAAGGCCGGATTAGAGGAGGGCGAGAGGGATATAGGGAGCATTGCGGAGGCAGGGAGAGGTGGCCGGGGGTGGGATCAAGTCGTGCGTGAGCCCCGGCCAGTCCCGACGGTTTGTGTGGCTATTCCAGGCTGCTAGCAGTCGGGCATGGAGGGCACATGGGAAAGTTATTCCGCATTTGGGCGGCATGCAAGGCATACATGTGGGGTGCTAATACTGACCGGCCGAGGTATGCAGTATGCGGTATGCGGGGGGGTATGCGTTATGCCCCTATACCAACTCGGGAAGAGGCCAAAGGTATGCACTATGTGGGGGTATGCACTATCACAGGTATATATGCACTACGAGGGGTTTGACTGTACTCACGCCCCGTCCGCCTCGCAGCATCGCTCCGGGCGCCCACGCCTCGGTCGTCTCGGCGTCACGCGCCAGGACCCCACGGGATCCTCCAATACCGCTCCGCGCGCCCCAAGTCCTCCTCATCCGCCGCCGCCGTGTCCGCCGCGAACAGCCGGTCCAGCTCCACGTGCCCCTCCACGTCCGGCGCCCACACGACCTCCTCCACGACGCCCCGGAGCGTCTCGATCCCCACGTCGACCATGGCGTCGAGCGCAGCCTTCCCGGGCCGCCCGTCGCCGTCCTCGCGCGCCGCCGCGCGCCGGGGCCGCTCAGCCTGGAGGGTGGTGGGCGCGAGGAGCAGCGTGCGCAGCGGCCAGCCGAGGCGCGCGCGGCCCGTCGCGAGCGCGGTGAACTTGGTGAACATGACGTCGACGCGAGCGCGTTGCATGTTTCTTGCGAAGCCCTGGTCCGCGACGCGCTCCGGGAGCCAGATCCACGAGCCGAGCGTGGCGAGCTGCGGGCACGGGAAGGCGCCGTCGGCGGTGGGGCTGAGGAGGGCGGCGGCGAGCGAGTCGAGTGCCGCGAGGTCGTCCGTCTTGATCATGCCGAGGTGTGCGCAGAAGAGGAAGATGAGGGTGGTCAGCGCGGGGGTATGCGCGAGCAGTGGGGGTAGGAGGAGGATGAGGATGTTCTCGACGTCGAGGTGCAGGACCCGGATCGACGAGAATGGGATGTGTGCGGGAAGGGACGCGAGCCATGAGACGGCACCGGCGCGGCGATGGCGAGGCTCCTGTACGGGGGGTCCTGTAGAGAGCGCGAGACGACCGCGCGCACGAGGGAGTGGAGCCTGCGAGAGGGGACCCTCGGCTGTGATGGTGACTTGATCCGACTGACAGATCTTGAGACGCTCGAGGGATGGGATTGCCGTCCGGCACAAAAGGTTCACGGTTTTCGACGCGCTGTTCTTCCAATCGTTGAATGTGCCTTCCGACGGCGGGTCGGTGAAATATATGTGGAACTCGCGGGGGAGAATGAGGCGACGGAGGAGGTTCCCGATGAACTCCCAGTTGGTTTGCGATACTGACATGCTATTCAAGCGCGACAGTTCGACCATAGCTGGCGGATTGTCTTCCGATGCGGGTAGGGATTTGCCGTCGCATTGGATGTCGCGCAGATTAAAGAACCGCAGCAAGGGTGTGCGCGACAGCAGACTGAGGACGTCTTCGAAGAGGTTGCTGTTCTCGATGTTGACGGAATCGAAGGAAAGGAAAAGATGTGTGAGAAGGGGGAAGGAGTCGAGCGGCAGTGCGTACTGCACGGGCCAGAGTTCAAGGGCACGGAGAGACGAGCGGCCGTTGTGGAACATCCGGGTCGAGGATGCGTTGCGGTATTCTGTCCCGGCCGGAGCGTCTGCCTCATACTTGATGGAGAGTGCCTCGAGGAGAGGTGTAGCATAGGGGGAAAGCAACGAGTAGTGACCCGGGGATGGACCAAGCATGCGGATTTGAAAGTGGCACAGTCGCCTCCCCTGTGCCGATATCGTCCTGTAAACATCGTCGACGTCGTTGGTGACGATGACAATGGTGAGAGGAGATTCTCCTGAGCGTTCCAAAAGGACGGAGGAGATGTTGTTGCAGACATTGTCAGTTGGTTTGAGAATCAAGTAGGACCACATTGATTGAGCATCGATGAGGGTCCGTCGCCACGACCGACAGACATGGGTGAGGCGCAGAAGGGGTCGCAGATACTCCGATTTGTATTCTTCACCATTAACATCTTGTTCTGTACTCAGCAGCGGGATGGGGACCAGAATGCGGCAGACGAGGAGGAAGATGTCCTGGGGAAGGTCATCCATGATCGATTGATCCGTGAGTCCACTGTCGTCTGCGGACTGGGTGCCACGGTCAGCATCGGCCAGAGGAGAATTGTACAACAATCTCACCTAGCCCTGATCCTTATCGTACACTTCTGCAAGGTGATTTACGTCCATCCACCTGAGCATCTCAAAACAAGATGGGGTTTGGGAACAAGAGTAGAGGCGCCGAATATCACAAGCCAAGTAAAGCTCGACCCAAAGGAGATATCCTACGTAAGCGAAAGGCGCTTAGTGACGGTCACCATAGACTGCCATATTGCTGGACGAATATTAGCTAAGTGGAACTGCGCTTTCAGTGCTCACAATTGCAGGACGTTGAGATACAAGCGATATAGTTATCTTCAACCCAACATAATGTACGTGCACAGGGCGTGCATCAGCCTAGATTGATTAGCTACCTTGATGAGTGGAAGTCGAGGGCAGTACAGAGTCGTAGTCTCCCCTAGGCAGCCCTTCTAGCCCCGCCGCAGCCTCAACTGCGCGCCGTCGTCGACGTACCCCACGCCGAGCCCGCGTAGTCCCACCTTCACGACCTGCGGCAGCGTCCCGAGTCCCGCGTCGACAACGGCAACGCCGCCTCTATCCCGCTCCCCCACCAAATCCTCCCTTTCCGCCCGCGACCGCTCCTGCCGTGTCAGCAGGTATGTACGCGGAGGCGAGCCGCAGCGTGCGCAGTCGACGAGGGTAGGAGGTGTGGGGTCTGGGTCTGGCAACGCCTTGGGGATCGCTGCCGACTATCTCAACATCGGCACTGCCAGAGATCTTGGTGGCTTTCAATATATTGTTGAGAGCAGGGCATGGTAGACACCCACCTCCAAAGTCTCCAACCCAGACGTAATGCAGTGTCGGACATGACGGGCAGGTTCAACAGATAACAGCGACTTAGTAAGGACCAACTCCATGAGGCTGAGTGCGACTCGTCACTGTCTGGTAGAGCCTGAGCCCACTTCGAAGCTTTTCATCCCAGCCTATCCTCTACTTACAAGTGTGCTTTTTGCCGCCAACGTGAGAGGTCGTGGCGATCGACCAGTCGATCATGTCTGTCTGACTAACGCGATTTGTCAGCCCAGGTGTGCGGCGGGCGGGCCGTGGCACTAGACGGCACGCCGTGCCGGAACGCTGGTTGGTAAAAGCGCAGGTCAGCTATTTCTATCTCGTCTTCCTTCTGCACCATGTCTCGGCCACAGTTTGCCCTCGCCCTCCCGCCGTCGTGGTGCTCGCTACGCCCTCTTCCAGCACCCCTCCGTAGTCATGCCGGCAACGGACTCAAGAACGGACCGCCAACGACAGTCACGGACAAATTCAAGTGTCTCGACACTACCCGCTCCTCCGGGCACCGACACCTCGAAGACAGAGGGGCCGTCGGAGCGTTCACAGCGGGAGGAGGATGAAGAGTTACTAGGGATGGACTTCGGGTTTCTCCCCATACCCTCTCGAGCGCGTTATGATCCCAAACATCCTGCACACTTCGGCCTGGCGATGAACGCGCTTTTTGGGTTGGCAAGTACCTTCAGTGCGTCCACTCTCTTATTCTTACGATTTGTGTGTTCATTGCCTTTTAGTTGTCGCGAACCTGTATTACTGCCAGCCGCTGCTCAGTAAGTATATTCACATTATATATGCGTTCCCTTTGCCCCTCTCCACGACTGCGATTTTTGGGATGCATTGGAGTCGCATTCCTGGCGGATTCCCAAGGCGCGCGACGCGGCTCTGCGTACTACGCATATATGCATGTCCAAGACTCGGCCGTTATAACGTGACAAGCTCCCCGAAACTGACCTGATGGTCGTGCAGTCCAGTTTGCGGATTCTTTCGGAGTCACCGAGAAAGAAGTCTCGACAATACCGACGTTGGTACAAGCTGGGTGGGTTGTTCGTTTACCCACATGCCCATTCTATGTCTCACCCATCGGTTTTTCAGCTATGCCGTAGGCCTCCTCTTCATCTCGCCCCTGGGCGACCTCGTCCGGAGACGACCGCTTATTTTGCTCCTCAACTTCATCACCGGCTCGCTCACAATCGGTCTCGCCATCACCACCAATCTTGCCGCCTTCGAGGTCCTCTGCTTTTTTGTCGGAGTATGCACCGTCGTACCGCAGATCCTCATGCCCCTCGCAGTGGACCTCGCACCTCCCGAACGTCGCGCCTCTGCGTTATCCATCGTTCTCTCAGGACTACTCTTCGGTGTACTTATCGCACGAGTCCTCTCCGGCGTGGTTGCTCAATTCGTCACCTGGCGCGTCGTTTATTTCGTATCTATTGGGGTTCAGTTCGGCATCCTCGCGCTGTTGTACTGGATGCTTCCCGACTACCCCGCAAAGAACAAGGGTGCGACCTACTTCGGCATCCTCTTCAGCATGGGCAAGTTCTGCGTCACGGAACCCCTTCTTGTGCAAGCCATCCTCATCACCATTCCCTCGAGTGCGACGTTCAGTGGATGGTGGGTCACGTTGACCTTCCTTCTCGGTGGAGATCCGTACAACTACTCTACGTGCGTGTGTTCCCTTTGGTCTGCCCACTTCAGTGCTTAATCCATCTCCGCAGTGTCGTCATTGGTCTTTTCGGTCTCGTGGGTATGGTCGGCGTCGCAATGGCGCCCCTCATCGGTCGCACCATCGACAACCTCGTCCCATGGTCCGCCACGCTCGTCGCCATCGTCGCCCTCGTCGCCACCTTCGCCGTCCAGACCGCCGCCGCCGGCCTCTCCGTCGCCGCGGTCGTCATCGTCTGCATCGGCCTCGACGTCTTCCGCCAGACGCAGCAGGTCTCGCTCACCTCCGCCGTCCTTGGCCTCGACGCCGCGGCGCGCTCGCGCCTCAACGCCGTCCTCATCCTCTCGCTCTTCATCGGGCAGGTCATGGGCACGTCGGTCAGCGCGCAGGTGTTCACGCAGCACGGGTGGCGGCCGACGGCGGCGCTCAACCTCGCGTGGACCGGGTGGGGGCTGTTCGTCCTGTTCTTGCGCGGCCCGCACTGCCCGCGGTACACGTGGATCGGGTGGCAGGGAGGGTGGGAGCTGCGCAAGAGCGTTGTTGATGCTCGGACGCGGGAGGAGAAGGAGAGGACGGAGCAGGGTGTGGTGGGCACGGACGGTGCGGAGGCAGAGGATAGGAAAGAGGAGCCACGGGTTTCGGACGTGCCGGTACGAGATGAGAAGAAGGGAGAAGAGGCTGTTTGAGGTGTGTATTCTGCCCTTGCTATCGGGTTTTCGTAGCACTGTTCTTATGCTGTATGTCACGTCGCACGACCTAGATGACTTGCCTTTATGACGACCCCGATTGATGACCATGAGCCCAGAAAACTGAACGAGTTTCTGCGTGTAAATGTGTGCGCTCGCATCAGGCCTCAGCCTCGAGTCTCTTGCGCTGCTCCCCTCGCTGCTCGCGCCCGTCCCCGCGCTCACCACCTTCGTCCTCTTCTACGCGCAGCGCGGGATGGCCGTGCCTACGAGTTCCCAGCCGTGGACGCGCTTGCCGACGCGCCCGTCCCCGCGCTGTCGCACCCCCCGCTCTCGACACACGGCTCGTGACGTTGCCCGGGCTCGCGCAGAGCGGCGGGCCGACAGCTCGTCGCAGAGACGTTTAAGTTTAACTAACTCCACTTAGTAGTTTATATCATACGTAATAGGGTTCGTTGCACCTCCGCAACATATGTGGGGAATGTAGCCCCATGATCTAGGCTAATGTTTTCGATTCGCCAGAAATCCACTGGCCTGTGGAGGAGTCGAACGCGTGATTTTATAAACCCAAGGATCGCAGATCTGATTGTCCTGACATGCCGCATGCGGGACGCTCTGCGCTCGAAGGCGCCCGCGCGACTGGCCGGCGTTAGCCCGCAGGCGGTCGCGACTCGCGGGCGTCTCCAAGCGCCATCGCCGAAACCAGCGACGGTCTCCGCAAGGTCTCCCTCACTCAGCTCTCTCGCCCCGACCTCCACTAGTTCATCTCACGACTCTTGACGACGCCCTCGCATTGACAGCACTTGATTATCGTCTTGTGCAGCGCAAGTGCACTCGAACCCACGACCTCCGCTCTCGCGCAGCGTACGAACGCCCGTCGACTCGACTACACATCCACGGACTCAAGCTCGACATCGGAACCCACAGTCATCGGCGGGCCCATTCGCAGTGCACTTTTAGTTGCTAGCGGGGCTGCATATCTGTGCCCCTGTTGCTCCGCAGTGAGTCTCTGTTTATTGGCCCAGGGCGCTGCTCCACAGGCTGAGCCTCAACACAGCATCTCCTTCGTCCGCAGTGAGCTCGCATACATACACCCGCGGTCGCTCCCCCCTGCTTCTACGTTCCCGTCATGTCCCATTATCCCGAGGTGAGCTTCTTCAGACTCATTTCCGCCTCTTGAGTCTGCACCCGCGTCTGGTTATATGCGCGCTCCTCGCCAAGATGACCTCTCGGTTACCTTGCACTCGCGGTCGATTGCTAGTTCAGTCGATAGGCATCGGAGCAGGAGTAATGGGCGCCGAGGGAGAGCCTTGCTCGTTTCACCTGCGCAATGAACGGCTATCTAACCCAACATTTTCAGGCTGATGAAGCTCAGCGGGGCCGTTACAATGACGGCCACTCCCCGTACCTCAGCTACCCTACGCAAGCCCCGTACACGCACACTCCAGCCCAAACTACGAGCAAGAACATCAGTCCTATCAGCCTTTGCACCATGACCCGTACAGCCAACCTCAAGGTCAGCCGGGAGGTTTCCAATTACCAGGCTCGACATTCTACCAAGATTCGTCGTACCAGCCCCTTTCCCCACACCGCACTCTCCCCCCGCACACCTGGCTCTCCCCCGCTTCATCCGGATGCGTTCAATCCGCCCATGGGCGAGGTAGCCGCGCCGCAGCCGTCCCTCTACAGCCGCAACAGCGCCGGCTTCCAGCTTCGCGATGACGGCCCCGATGACCTCGATACAGGCGACATTCCTCTCCTGAGTAGGCCCACGGGCGGGGGAATGCCGATGCCGGGTGGGATGGGAGACTACGAGATGGTGGATGGAGACGAGAACAACATCCGGTATGGCTCCATCCCTCAGCGCGTCCCCCGACGGTACAAGACCATCAAGAAGGTCGAGCTTTTCCACGGCAACTTCGTCCTCGACTCGGCGGTGCCGACGAAGCTGCTGAACATGTGCGCCGAGCGCGACGAGCGCGAGTTCACGCACATGCGCTACTCTGCGGCGACGTCCGACCCGAACGACTTCAAGGATGAGGGCTTCACCCTCCGCCAGGTCCACTACGACCCCCCGCGGCGCACGGAGCTCTTTATCGTGATGACGATGTACAACGAGGACGAAGAGCTGTTCTGCCGCACGATGCACGGTGTGCTCAAGAACGTCGCGCATCTCTGCAAGCGTGACCGCAGCAAGACGTGGGGCAAGGAGGGCTGGAAGAAGGTCGTTGTATGCATCGTTTCGGACGGTCGGCAAAAGATCAACTCTCGCACGCTCAGTGTCATCGCGGCTATGGGTGCTTACCAGGACGGTGTGGCCAAGGTGCGTCGTCCGTGTTGGGTAGCTACTCCTCTGCTGACCGGCCCGATAGAACATCGTGAACGGGAAGCCTGTCACTGCTCACATTTACGAGTACACGACCCAAAGTATGTCTTCCTTATTGACCGTCTCGCCACCCCGCGTTTATCCTCCGGAATAGTCTCGGTCACTCCTTCCATGAAACTTGAAGGCGCCGAGCGCGGGATCGTCCCCGTCCAAATCATCTTCTGTCTCAAGGAGAAGAACCAGAAGAAGATTAACTCTCACCGGTGGTTTTTCAACGCGTTCGGCCCGATTCTCCAGCCCAACGTCTGCGTCCTTCTGGATGTCGGTACGATGCCGGGCCCGACGTCCATCTACCACTTGTGGAAGGCTTTCGACATCAACTCCAACGTCGGCGGCGCGTGTGGCGAGATCGTCGCGCTCAAGGGCAAGTGGGGCCAGAACCTCATCAACCCGCTTGTTGCCGCGCAGAACTTCGAATACAAGATGTCGAACATTCTCGACAAGCCACTCGAGTCCGTCTTCGGCTACATCACGGTGTTGCCTGGTGCTTTCAGTGCCTACCGATACATCGCGCTCCAGAACGACCAGACCGGGGAAGGCCCTCTGCACAAGTACTTCCTAGGCGAGAAGATGCACGGTGCCGGTGCCGACATCTTCACGGCCAACATGTACCTTGCCGAAGATCGTATCCTGTGCTGGGAACTCGTCTCGAAGCGTGGAGGCTCATGGATCCTGCACTATGTCAAGTCCGCCTATGCGGTGACGGATGTACCGGATCAGGTGTGTTCCCCTCCCTCCCTCCTCCTTCAATCACACTAACGCATGACCACAGGTCCCCGAGCTGATCAGTCAGCGTCGACGATGGTTGAACGGGTCTTTCTTCGCTGCTATCCATAGTACTGTTAAGTTCCACTACATCTACCGCTCGTCGCATTCCTTCATGCGCAAGTTCTGGATCCACGTCGAATTGGTGTACCAAATCTTCAATCTCTTCTTCTCTTGGTTTTCTTTGGTGCGTAAGGGCTCGTTTCAGCCCATGACTTTCTCTCACGTTCTTGCGACAGGGCAACTACTTCATCGCGTTCACGATCCTTAGTGAAGCACTGGAGGACCCGTCGTTCAATCTCAAGGGCATTCACGTCGCCAACATCATACTCGAATACTTCTACCTCGGTCTCCTCATCCTGTGCTACATTTTGGCCCTCGGTAACCGACCACAAGGGGCGAAGTGGTTGTACACATTCGCGTTCATCGGGTTCGGCATCATTACGATATACATGACCGTGAGTTATTTGTGACTCGTTCGGGTGACTGTGCTGATGCGGTGCACCTGTCCTTATAGATTGCTGCGTTCTTCCTTGCGTTCAAGGGCATCGACAACATATCCAAAAATGAAGGCGCTCTCACGTTAGACGACCTATTCACGAACTCTATCTTCCGAAACATCGTCATCTCGCTCCTGGCACATTAGGTCTCTACATCATCTCGTCGCTGATCTTCGTATGCGCTTTCCTATTTTTTTTGTGATGTTAGCTGACGTGCTTCATGGGGGCAGTTTGAGCCATGGCATATGATCACGTCGTTCATTCAGTACCTCCTGATGGCGCCTTCGTACATCGCAGTCCTCAACGTCTACGCTGTACGTGCTTCGCGTTGTTCTGTCGATGTGTCACTGACTCGTCCTGGTTTCATACAGTTCGCCAACGTCCAGTACGTCCAGTCCGAGATCGTAAGACAGCCTCACATGTACTGACAAACGCTGCAGCGATGTTTCATGGGGTACCAAGGGAGACAACAAGGTCTCAACAGATCTCGGTGTTGTCAAAGTTGGTCCTAACAAGAACGAAGTCGAAGTGTCTGTGCCTACAACGGAAACGGATATCAACGCCGCGTACGAGGATGCAATTCATATGCTGTCCACCAAGCCTCCCAAGGCCGAGTCGAAGCCCGACCCGCAGACAGAGCAGGAAGACTACTACAAGACCTTCCGTACCAAGTGCGTACCCGTCTCCCACTGTTTTTGCCAATGACCAGATCACTGATGCCATTCTTGTCTGCAGCGTGAGTTTCGGCCCGTGTATCATGAGCGTCGAGGTATCTAAGATACTGACACTGGTTTGGATGATTAGGTTCTGCTTTGGTGGACATTGTCCAATGTGCGTCCCCTTCGTCCTTCCTCCGATCTCTTCGCATAACTGACATCACCCGCGATGATCCAGGCTCTCCTTGCAGCCATCGTCGTGTACGTTTCCGATTCACGCGTCGCGCTCTCTATCTCAGATTGCTCCCGCTAATCTCGATCGTGTCTGCTCGCTTTTATTTCCTCAGTACGGCGTCAGACAAGGCCACGGACTCCAATGCCGAGAAGATGGTCAGCGGATACATGGCTTTCATCCTCTTCTCCGTCGCCTTCCTCGCATGTACGTGCCTCTACTCGGCTCTCATCTCCGCCCGCGCCGGGCACTAACGCCTCTTCTCCGCCCCCAGTGATCCGCTTCATCGGCGCGACGACATACATGCTCGTGCGCCTCTTCGCCGGCGAATGAGCGCGCCCTCTCCTCGGGCTGCGCTGCCTGGATTTGGATGACATATCTCTCGGACTCGGACACCTCCCCATTCCCCCTCCGCTGTCCCGTTACGACTAATCACGAGACGGTGCATCTTTCCCCATTCCCCGCTCCCGCTCTCGTACGAACTCTGACGAACCACCGATCATGTTTGCGCGAGATACAACTACAGATGTGGTGCTACATTTTGATGCCCCCTCCCCGCCGAGTACTGCCGCTGCTATCGATACCATACTGCGTGTCTGTCTCCCCGACTCCCCGTTCTTGACTAGCCATTACGGAGTGGTACGCTACGCCCGCTGCACGACCTCGCCCCCGCTCCTCGCTTCCGATCCTTTCATCTCGCTCCGTTATCGCTCCACGCCTCTCTCGTCTGTCGCGCTGTCGTAAAATATTCGAATAATTTGCCGTCGACCCCAGTGACAGAAATGGATACAGTATCTGAAGGAAACGAAGAGTGCCGAGCGCCCCGCCGCGCGCGGCGGCGTGGGCTGCGGGTATAATGATATGCGGATAGACTGGTCGGCGGGCGTGTGCCGGACGCTGGACGGTAGATTGGACGGGTGGATGGAAGGCGATGCGCCGGTGGATGTGGATGGGACGCGTGGATGGGTGTGTGAGAGGGCGGGCGCCGGGGCTGGGTTCGGGCGGGCCCAGGTGTCATGACGAGCGCGAAGAGCTCCCGCTGGAACTCGAGGACGAGGACGAGGAGGAGCGCGTGGACTGCGGGGGGAGGGGGGTTGCGTCAGCGTCGGCGCCAGAACACATGAATGAATCCCAACGAGTGCGTGCCACATGTCCGAGAACGAGACGGCGCGCCGCGGTGGATACCACCAGCCCGCGCGCCGTTCGGTCTCAAGCTGGTGTGCGCCGCCCCGGTGGCGCGGGGGAGATGTGAGACGGACGACGGCTCACCTTGCTCCGCTTGGGCACGAAGAGGAGCGCCGGCTCCTCGAGCTCGTCGTCCGGCGTCGAGAGCGCGGTCGGGTATGCGTACGCCGCGGACATGTGCGGGGTCTGTGGCCGGGGTGCCAAAACGGGCGATCGTCGGTCAGCGCGGCAGACGGCGCGGGGAAGTGCGGAAGTGCGTACCGGTGGGCGGGGCACCGTGCCGCTGCTTCGTCATGCGCAGGGCCGAGTTCAGCTGGCGAGAGAGTGCGGTCAGATGGGTGTGTTCGAGGTTCGCCAGGTCTGGGTGGCAAAGTGGCAAAGGACTGGGCCCGTGGACGAGGAGGGGCGCGGGGCGAGGGTGGCGGGTGGCACCACCCCGTGGGGTATGTGCGCATCCAATAGGTGCCGCTCTGCTCGCGCCCGCCTCGGGTGCCGCGGACGCAGGGAAGTAGAGATGGATGATGGGAGTGGGGAGTGGAGTAAGACAAAGACAGAAAAACGACGTGGTACATACCTTCGCCTCGCCGCCCTTCGTGCGGCCAGCGTAGATCATGTCGTTTGTGACGACGGTCATAGTGGGGAATGCTGAGAGCGAATGCGCGAAGCTGGGGAGGGCAGCAATGTTCGCCGGCGTCGACGCCCGCGGGACCGGTGTGGCAGAGGCGGGGTGAGCGAGGTGGTTATTGCGCGCGTCCATGGGGAGGGCGGTGCTGTAGTGCCGCGAGCCCGGGTGCTGGTGGTAGTGATGCGCGGGAGGGCAGCCCAGGAGCCGGAGGAGAGAGAGGAAGCCGGGGAAGATGAGAGGGACGAGTCCGAGGCGGCCATTGGGATAAAGGCTGCGCGAGGGAGTCTATGATTGTGCGTGTGTCTGCGTGGCCGGGCGCGCGGCGAGTGGCGGGGCGTGGCGGGGCGTGGCGGGGGTGGGCAAGAGCGGTCCTGCGGTGCGGGTCGTGGGGTGATCCTGGGACAGATGCGACAGGGATCTGTGCGCGCGATGGGAGCGGCGACGGTGCGGCGAAGGTGAAACGGACAAAGACGTTGGTCGAGGGACGCTGGCCGTGGGTGGGTGGCGAGGCGCGCGGACGACGGGCGTATATGAATGGCGCACCGCCCGGCGCAGATTGAGCGATCACGAGCAGCTGTGTCCGGAGTGCGGGCGGCAGCCCCGGATGTGCGCTGCCCGTTTCATCCGCGAAAGGCGACCTCGTCCCGTGCGGACTTCGCCGGTGGCCTGAGCGCTCGCAGTCCGCGCGCGACGTCCTCGGCCTCGTCTTCGTCCGACCGGACTCGCTGAGCTTCGCGCCACGCGCTGTCCTGAACGAATAATCGCTGTCAGCATCTCCGGGCTTTGCCTCTTGCTTGCCACCCCGCCCGCGTCCTTGTGCGCGAGAGCACTCGTGCCTGTGAGACGATGCGGGCGCCTGCAGTGTCGAGCGACAAACCTCCGAGATGGCAGGAAGCGCTAGGTAGATTATCTTCGATATCAACCGACAGGTTACTACACGGGCCCGCGCACCGACTCCCGACCTCCGACTCCCGCGTGCACCCCGGGTGCGCGCAGGAGCAGGCGGACCGGCGCAGCGCATCCTAATACAGGGCCAAGATGGGCTCGAGATAGCCGTCCACAAAGGCTTGCAGTCCTGGTGGGAGATCGGAATGCGGTGCGCCTGGACTCTGTGTCCACGGGCGCGGGAAACTGGACCACACGAACGTGATTCGTGTGTCGCAACTCGTGCACTCGTCCTCTGCAGTAGCTCCGTCCGGGTCGAGGCCGCGCGATCTTCTAGTGTATTGGTATCCTGGTGAACCACGTTGCTTGCCTCTGCTTGACTCGGATGCGGCCCCGGTCCGTGCGGTGAAAACTTCATGACTCTGTCCGTCTTCGTCTTCGTCACCTCTTGGCTACCAATGCCGCCACGACGAGTCAGACAGCGGACGCCCAACCTGGTGGGTGCACCCCCAGTCGCCGTCGGCACGGCGCACCCAGCAGAGGCGGTGATGTTCGATCCACACGACCACCTGGCGGACGCCGGGGGCGTATATCTGCAGATCGAGCACGACCATCTTCTGTAAGACTTCCGTCGGCAGCGGGGCCCAGCGGCTGAAGTCGAACACCACGAACTTGAGCGCGGGCATGCCCATGAGCGCGCGCCAGACCGTGGGGAGCTGCGTGGTCATCGCGGGAGTCAGCGTACGATCGACGACGAGAAGGATAGGAAGGAAGTGTAAGCGAGAGCAAGCTCGGGGCCGGGGGGAGCGTGGGCGCAAGGCGCGGCCGAGGCCCACGCACGGGCATCGAGGAATGGGAAGCGCCGTGCATGATGACATCGTCTCGTCCCACGGTCTGCCGACGCGCTCGGAGTGATGGGACGGTGACGAAGGACTTACCTCGCGCGGCATCGTCGTAAGGACGCCGATGTACCTGAGTCGTGTGGCGAGCGCGGTGCCTGCGAGGCGAGGAGACAGTCTGGGAGGAGCGCCTCGGTTACGCCGAGGAAACTCAGGTTGATGAGCCCCGGCATGGTCTCCGCCGCGTCCGCGACGAGGGTCGGGACGAGCGGCATGGTGTCGTCGTCTGCGACAATCTGGAGGTGTGTCACTGGCGGTGCTACAACGAGGATTTCTGCAACGACGAGCACCGGCGCGCTGAGCACTTGGAGGGCGGGGAGCGCGCCCGGCTCGAGGGCGCACAGTGGCCGTCTTCCAGCGAGTCGGGCGCGGTGCAGAACATACGCAGGCGCTTCTGCCGGTTGAGGAACGCGGCGAGGTGCGGGCCCCAGGCGAGGTTGAAGTTTGCCTCCCGAAGCTGGAAGGGCACGGGGCGGTCGGCATGGTGGAGTACCCATGCGTGAGATGCGGTCGGGTCCCCGAACATGATGTATTCCAGTCGCGGCATACGCAGTAGTGCAGCTTGCAGGTGCGACCAGAACTGCACCGGGATGGTGCCGAAATGCAGGCGCGGAGGTGTGCGGCCGGGGTCCTGGTAGAGGTAGAGCCGTCGGACGTACGAGGTGCGCGCAGCGTTGTGCAGGCCTAAACTGTGGAGGCAGAGGATTGCTCGTTGGGCGTCTCGGAGAACCAGCGTTTCGTATATCCGGGATTCTGCCGCGCGCTGGAAGGCCTTGCTAGTGTGTGCCAGCGGGAAGAGATCACGAACGGATAAATGCGACGTAATGATGTTGTAGACGTCAGGTGGAAGCAAAGCCACGTAGGGCTTCGAATCCTGGGGAGAACTCCGGGAAGATCAGCATGCTGTATGCGCGGGGAAACAGACAATGCGAAGGAGGCGCCAAAAAGAAAGGAGCCAGTCTGGGAAGGGGACAGACGCGACCAGTCCGCCACTGTCTCTCTGCAAGGAGATCGTCGCCGGTGCGAGCGGTCCGCCGCATAATGTACCACAGCTTTTCGACTGGAGCGTTGTTCAAAAGTGTAATGGATCCACAGTGCGCCGAATACACCGCGCTTTAGGGTCATTGAATGGGAACTACATGCGCGAGCTTAAAATGGTCAGAATTCACAGACGAACTGGTAGCTGCAGTCATATGGTACACATATTCTCGAAAGTAAACCCCAAATTTCAAGTTGTGGAGCGCATACACTCCCGATATGCAGGGCCTAGTCGGTGAGCAACCCACCGGGCAATCGTCTCCCAATGCTCACGCACTCATAGTGCATATGTCGATGGAGTGAATGACACTATGCACCGCAAGCACACCCCGCGTATGATGGAACACTTACTTTTCACGAGAGGCACTGATCACCTGTTGTGAAGAATACATTTGCCACTAGCTTGGTCGTGTCTGGTCGTATAAGTGATCAGTAAACACGAATGAGAGAGAGAAAAAGTGGGAAACTAGCCGCATGCACAAAGGTCTTTCCTGCTAGCGCACTGATACGGCGCGTTCTGAGGATGATGGTGGAAGAGACGACGATGGAGGAGGACAAGAGAAGACAAACAGTTTGGCGCGCAGGGTCGCGTGGCCACGTGCAGGATGACGCGCTGGGGGAAAGACGCGTTCCTGCACTCGACCACGCTTGATACCCATCGTCCACCATCGAGCATTCTACATCCCCCTTACTGCTCATCTACTCCTCCCTATACGCGTGTCCATCATGGGCGAATCTCGAATGGAACTCCTGGGATGGTTGAACAACCTCCTCCAGATCAACTACTCCAAGGTCGAGCAGTGCGGCACGGGTGGCGCATATTGCCAAGTTATAGACTCAATCTTTGGTTAGCTCGGAAGCCCTGTGTTGCGTTGATCTGGTACCCTGAACACTGCTTGCCATATCTCCTAGGTGATATACCAATGACTCGTGTCAAGATGAACGCGAAACACGAATACGAGTATATCGCCAACTTCAAGGTTCTCCAGAATGCCTTCAAAGCCCACAAAGTCGAGAAGGTGCGTCTCCAGGTCCTTCCATCACTTAGGCATGGTTTTTATGTCCTGCAAATAGCCGATTCCCATAGAACGCCTTGTCAAGTGCAAAATGCAGTGAGTACAGTGACTGTATGCGCCTTCTCCACGCGTTAATCGGGCCCTAAAGGGACAACCTCGAGTTCCTGCAGTGGATCAAGCGTTTCTGGGACACCAACTACGGTGGACAGGGCTACGACCCCGTCGCTCGACGACGAGGTGCCCCCGCCGACACCCCCGCGACGATCGCTCCCCTCGGCGGCGCCTCTCGTGCGACAGGTGGACTGGGAGCGGGCGGAGCGCGCGCAGGTGGAAGAACACCGGTATCTGGTCACCGTTCAGGGTCGACGCAGCCGAACGAGGCATTGCAGACTCTGCAGGCCCAGCTGCGGGATATGAACGCGCACCTAGAGGGGCTCGAGAAGGAGCGTGACTTCTACTTCGCGAAGGTGAGCACTCGTCCGCCCGCACTCGCGCATACCCCTCTTCCCTTGAACCGTCCACAAATGTCCTTCTGCGTGAATCCTCGTCACGCCGGTCTTCTGACCTTGTCTTACAGCTGCGGGATATCGAAATCATGGTGCAGGGACAGATGGAGGTGCTACAGGCAGAAGACAGGGACGACCCGCTTCTCCGCGACATTCAAAAGATCCTGTACTCGACCGAGGTCAGTGCCCTTTCCATTCCGCATGCTCCACATGCTCATCGGTCAGCAGGAGGGCTTTGAGGTTCCAGAAGGGGCAGTCGATGAAGAGGAGACGTTCTAGTGCTGTTTGGGGGTTGCTAGTCGGGGCAGAGAAGTACAGTCCACTTTACCAGCGTATCACCATCTAGTCATATTTTCTACCCCACAAATTGCGCGCCAGCATCGTATTACGTCTTCTACTTCCTTTCAATCGCATCCTTTGCTGTATCATCCGCTCTCGCGTCCTGGCACTGTCTGATCGCTTCATTTCGCTAGTGCGCTCCAGAAGGTGATGGTCGCCGCCGTTCCCAGCCTTCCCCGCCACTCAACGCTCCATCCGACTGCCCCGGGACCCGACGCTGCTCGCCAAAGCGCGAAGGCTGCCCAACCGTGCCTCCGGTCGTCGGGCGAATTCCCAGGCGCCCCGAATCGGATTACGGCTCGGCTCCAGGCGGCCTAACTTGCCTCCTACTACCGCCTCGGTCCTTATATACCTCCTTTCCGGCTACAAACCTCCCCTCGGAGCCTCACTCCTTGCGATGGGGTATGTTCTGTTCCTTATCGGTGGACTTTCTCTAACGAGTCAATCTCAGTCTCGAAAATGCAAGCCAGAAAAAGCATTCGCCTGCCCCGCATTCGCTGACCAATCGCTCGCCATTCCAGCTCCGTACGCTGGAACGTAGCATCCTCGCCGACGTCCAGCTTCAATCACCCACCGGATGTCCCATCAACCGGCTTCCTCCGGAGATTTTCCTGGTGGTTTGCTACCACATCGTCCTGCCCAGCGGACTCCGCGACATTGTGACGCTCCGCGAGTCGGAGAACCTCGGCACCGAGTACCTCGCGCACTACGTCCGTCCTCTCCTCGACCTCGCGCACGTATGTCGCTCGTGGCGGCACGCGATTACCGGCGATCCCGCGCTGTGGTCCAGGATCAACGCCACCAGGATGGATTCGCGTCTCTTCAACGCCTTCCTCGACAAGGCAGGAGGCACACCGTTGGCCCTCTTTGTCCCTCTCCGATTACTCCTCAGTCAGCACCAGCGGGACGCAAGTTTCGTTCCGCGGATCCGACACTTACAGCTTCGCTGCCCGACCCCTCTAATTCCAGCTGATCTTTGACGAATGTCTTCCCCCTCAAACCGGAGCTCGAAAGCCTGTCGGTCATCACATCTACCATTGCCGTCGACCCTGGGGCATTCAAAGTCGCACTGGCCTCAAACCAGGACTTCGATCTCTTGGAGAAGACATGCCCGCGCTCCATGCGCTGGCCATGTGTCCCGTCCTCCACCGGCTACCAGCACAACCGCTGCCTCAGCTTACCCACCTCTTCCTGTCGTACTACTACCCAATTGTGGAGGAACAGCGCCATACCCAATGTGACTTATTCCATTGCGTCCTCCAGCTGCTCACGCAAGCCCCTCAGCTCACGTTTCTACACATCCTCGACGTCTTCTTCAACTACTCTGGACAAGAACTCCCATCCCGCCCGCGCATCGCGCTCTCATCTATGCGATCACTGACGGTCATCCACACGCATTGGAAATACTGCTACCACCTGCTCTCCTGCCTCGACCTACCCGAAACCGCCCACATCTACCTCCATCGGATGTGGGTCCACCGTGACGAGCTCGAGTCTATCACGCACCCTGCGCTCCCGCCGATTGCCCCCAGCAGCGCTGTCACCCGCCTCAAGGTCAAGGCATCGGATTCAAGCATGATCGCCGTCGGTGACGGGCCCCCAGACCCCACCACCGGCCGCCCACACGGCCGCGTTATGCTCAAATACGAGTGGGGCTACGAGGCGGGCGCGTGGTGCGAGCACTGGCTCACCAACATCTCCACGCACTTCCCCCTGGCCTCCCTCCGCGCGCTCCACCTATCGATTAACACGGTCGCACACGAGGAGGTGCTGCTCGCCGCCGCGCTCCGGCGCGCCCCAGCGCTCACCGAGCTCGTCCTCCTCTCGCACTGGGGCCGCAGCGACCGCGCGGCGCTCGTCGCGCTCCACCGGGCGCTCGCACCGACCGCGCCCACCGCCGCGCCGCCCTGCCCCGTGCTGGAGCTGCTCGGGCTCGAACTGCGCCTGCCCGTGGAGGGCGAGCCGAGCTGGGAGGCGCGCCTCGCCGCGCTCGACGGCGTCGTCGCGCTCGCCGCCGCCCGCGCGCGGGCAGGCGTGCCCCTGCGGCGCGTCGTCGTGCAGTCGCTGCATGCGCTCGTGCCGCGCGTGCTGTGGAGCCGCGCGTTCGCGGCGGGCCTCGACGCCGCGCTTGCGGCGCTCGCCGCGCAGGGGCAGGTCGAGCGCCGGAGTTCAGGGTCCCGCCGGACGCGGCGGCAGAGGGGGAGACGTTCGGGCTGCACGTGTTCGCGGGCGCGGAGGGCGAGACGGGGTGGATGGAGGAGGACGAGGCGTGGGCGGAGCGGTACTGGCGGATCCCGGACGCGCGCAAGCCGTGGCGCGGGCCGGAGTTCGTAGCCGCGAGGGGGTAGAGGTGCTGTATAGACCAATATCTCTGCTTTAAAGAAGTCTCCTCTTGTCAATCCGCCCTTGCATCTCGGTCATATATCCAGCTTCTTCAGTGGGAGCAGAGTCATCGAATGGCCTGCACGACTCTCGCGTCAGCCAAGAGTTTTGGAAGAAGTACTAGGAGTATTTACAATGTGTGCGAGACATGATGCGTGAAGGTGGTGGTGGACGACGACCTGACTCCGCCGCTCGCCTCATGGGCAATCCAGGACACCGGGGTACGGAAGCGGTGGGGTGAGTGGGCTGATCATGGTATGCGGATGTTGGGCTGGTTTCGTGCGTTTGCAGGGAGGTGGTTTCTGCGGAACCACGCGACATGGAGCGTGAGGCTAAGTAGGGAGGTTTCCAGCGAGGGTGCTGTGCGGGACGAGTTGCGGTCCTCCGAGGGTAGGACGGTGATGTTCGTCAACCCTCCATATCATGCCACACGTGTTGGTGTTTTGCATACGATGTTACGTCGCATGCCGAGCGTGCTCGTCGGGTACACCAAGACCCTGCAGATGAGGCCTAACTTCGAGTGTCCAGAAACGGTCGGCTGCATGTGTTGTTTTTACATGTTCACGTATGGATCCCGTCCGCAGACGGCGCAATCGGGGTGTTCGCAACGCTTGTGTTCATTGAGAGCTACATACACGTTCTTCGAAGCTGCTCGGATCTTTCCCTGGTTCGGATTGCCGTGTCCTCGGTACCCCGCCTGTCCGTCCGGCTTTCCGGGCCCTAACGGCTTCATCAGCCCTTCGCAACCTGAGCGCACCTCGGCGAGACAGGACACACCTTATAGTTTGTCACGCGCTGCGAATTGACCCTCCTCACCAGCCACTCCATCGCGGTCACACCCGGGGCGTACTTCCACGGGGGGCGCATTGGCGACTACCGCAGCGATGCGCTCGCTCTGCGCGGACATCGCCCGCAGCTCGACGGTGGCGTTCGGGCGGGGGAAGAACATGACGGAGTGGCGTTCGTACTGGGCCTGCTCCCGCGGAGGCGGGCTGGTAAGGGGGTGAGTCGCGGGGCATCGGCACGTCGCGGACAGACTCACACGACGCGATGGATGTTGGAGCGCAGGATGCCGCCGGAGAAGATGTCGAGCGCGTCGCTGATGTTGCAGATCGCGTGTCCGCGCACGGGCTGGGCGACGGACGACTACATGAGCACGAGCGCGGCGGATCGAGAGGGACCATTGACCTTGACGTAGAACCACTGGTCAGAGCTAGGAGGGAGAACCTGCAAGCGACGTGCAGGAATGACTGGGGAGAGCGATGTCGGTACAACGCGAGGGGGCCCACGGCAAACCACTCACCAAGGACCCAAAGTCCGTGTGCGCTGTCAGGAACGTCTTCTCCTCTGGCCCGATACACGACGGCGGTCTGATGAACCGCGCCGTACATCCGCTGAACTACTCGACCTTGTGGAGAGACGCGAGCGTGCCCGTAGAAAGCGCGAGCTTGTCGTTGAGGAAGTCGATGATGTGGTTGTTGATCTTCACGAACGGCGTGATGGTGGACTCCATCCGCGCGGGTGCGTGCGGCGTGCGATTGCCGGCCAGGCGAGCGCGTCGTCCTCAGAGATGTTGACAAACTCGGTGACGTCGCGCGTGCCGTTGTCGTCGGTGAACTGCACGCCGGCGGCCTTGTATGTAGCTGTGCCGATGCGCAGGTCGGTGGAGAGTGCAAATGCACGAAATTCGAGAGAACGTAACGCATTGGTCTCCCTGCTCGAAGAGGAGCTTCTCCGCGAGGGTAAGAGCGATCGTCTCCTCACCCATCGCAAACATCCCTTCCGATTCCTCACATAGGCTACGCCGTGGTTCGTGAGGCTTGCAACGGATCGTCGGTCAGTCCGAGTACTGTTCACTCGAGTACTGCGCAGTCACTCACTACCAGAATCCCATCTCCTTCGCAGCCTTCCAGAGCCTCTCGATCTCATCCGCATCTCCAGCTTTGATAAGCTCATAGTGAATCACCAAGAGACTCAGGACAGGTGGGGATATCCTGAGGGAAAGGCGGGTGGGATGTGAGACCAGGCATCGTGATAGAGACTCAGGAGTATGGATACATACATAGCAGGTACCTATGCCCCTTGAGTTCATGAGAAGGGTCTCGGTACTCCGTATCCCGCGAGAAATGTGCTAAACTTGCAGCATGGTTTCATGACTACTTACGGAGAGAATGAGATGAGGATAGCAAGGTTGACGTGACAGAGCGAAAGCAAGGCGCTTCTCGGTGAGAGTTCCAGCGGACAAAGCGAAACCTCAGGCCTTCAGGCTTCAACACTGGCCGCTCAACCAACTTGATGAACCTCACGCATACCCCCACCCCGCTCAGGTACTTCGTCATTGCAGTCGTTTGAGAGGTCGTATCTTGACGAGCTCACATCGCAGACCATGTGGCTGCTCAGCACGGCTCGAGCGGAGCTCAAGTTCTTCCCTGGGCCCAAGGCCGTTCCCGGTGGCACGCCATACTCTCCCACGTCTGGCTGCAAGATGCTCAAGAGGATACGTTTCAGAAGGTGCGGCTCAACGCGGATCAATGCCCAGGAGTCGCAGGAACTATGTACGAGCAGTGTTGTACACTATTGTTACAGTTATGTTCATCGACTACTTGCTCGGACCACCGAAGATGGTCTGGAATGTGGTCGATTGGTAGCTATACGCACCGTTCCAATGAGCCGTCCTGTCAAATCCGAGATCCAATACGCACCCAAGGTTGCCTCGGCCGGGATCCAAAAAGGTGCTGTGGATACATATGAGCTAAAGCCGTAGACAGACGTGATCCGTGCACATACATATATCCGCGATCACCGTCAATGTTCAATCTCTCCTTGAAGAAGGAGAAGAACTTTTTGGAATAAACTTCGTTCTTCTCGGTGGATATGTTGTCCAAGCTGACCTGCGAGGGGGCAGTACTCGTCATTAGGGTCGACATTGCGAGAAACGGTACAAATGACATACGATGGTCATCAAGAAGGCCGGCTCAAAAGTGCCATTGAAAGTGAGGGGCTTGTCATGGTCAAGGTGGACGGAGATGTAAGCTTCGGGTTTGCCAAGGGTCTCGGCTGAGAACTAGGAGGAAAAGGGGATTCTGCATGATAAGAACGAGAGAGCGGATAGTGAGCGCGGAACCAAATGGGGATGACCTTGGAAAACTCCTCGCAGAACTTCTTAGGATCTTCGACCTTGACGTTCGTCCTGAGATCGAGTCCAGGCATGCTAGAGAGGAACGGCAGTGAAGAGACGATAGGGGTCGATGACGAAGGAGGCCGAACATAGCGGCAACTTAAATATGCGCTCGCCGGCGCAGTGCCCCGGAACTTAGAGTCTATCTGTGCACGGTCACGCGCGACGCCAGCACCCATTCTGTGCCGTATATTCTCATCATCGTGGTGGACAGTGGGCAGAAGGTCCTTCGGCGGCCCGCGCAGCACGATGTATCGATCTCATCAGCGTGCGCGTCCACGCGCGGACGTTGAGCGCGACTCTCACCCGCACCACGTACATACATATACGACAGTACATACCCGAGCGTCCACTCAACAACACACCCTATCGTCTTCCCGCCATCTCGTATCGCCCAAAATCCGCGGTTTTCTCACTCTTGCTGAACGCGACGGCTACGACTGGGCTTGGGCGGACACGTGTTGCATCGACAAGACGAGCAGCGCCGAACTCACTGAGGCCATCAATTCCGTGTTCCGCTACTATGCTCTCTCTGGCGTCTGCTACGTCTACCTCAACGATGTCTCCGTTGAAGGCCCCTCTTCTCAGAAGCGGCCAACGATCCAACTTCACGTGGTACTACCACGGCCTTCGCGCGTTCCAGGTGGCACCGGCGCGGGTGGACGCTCCAAGAACTGCTCGCGTCACGCGTTGTGGTCTTCTTCTCCAAGGAGTGGTCCCCGCTCGGGACCAAGTTTGAATTGGCAGACCTACTGCAGGACATCACGGGCATCCCTTCCGAGGTCGTTCGACTGGAGAAGGACTTTACCGACATGAGCGTGGCTGCGCGCATGCCATGGGCGTCGAAGCGGGAGACCACGAGGACCGAAGACACCGCCTACTGTCTGTTTGGGCTCTTCGGCGTCAACCTTTCGACGCTGTACGGAGAAGGTCAGAACGCATTCTACAGGCTGCAGGAGGAGATACTCAGAACATCCGGCGACGTGTCTCTCTTCGGGTGGAGCGGAAATAGCCCGGTCGTATTCGCAAGCCTTCAGAGTCTCACAGTGAGTTTTCGTGAGTCTCTACGGACGTTCGACATGGGACAATATTATTGCCTTTTCGCTCATTCTGCCTACGCGTACTCGGGGCAAGGGACCATGCGATACGAAGAACCAGCGACTCGGCCTGGAAACTTGAAGAGATTATTCATGGTTCGTTGGTATGCCGTCCTGTAGGTATGATCTGCTGATCCGGTGACGTACAGGCTCGCATCGCATCGCTCAGACTGGGTGGGAAGATGAAGGCATGGACCTCTCATGCCTCGTTTGCCACCACGCCATCTGGGATGCTCTTGACGGCGCCAGTAATCTATTTGGATGCATCAATGACCTTCATTCTCCTTAATCTGTTCTGCACAGATATCGTGGTGGTTGACGGGGAGTCCCGTCGCCAGCCTTGCTACCTTCTTCTCCAGCGGAACCAAGACCTCTCCGTCCATGGGCAGCCCCTTTATATCATCGGGGGCTATATCACGTCCATGAAACCCGGCGAGCGCAACATCCGCGCAGTCACCTTTTCCGTCAGCCTTCCACCCGATTCCCGCTGGACGATGTCGGGGATCCACGTCGCCACGCCGCCCCCGTACTCCGCAGAACCACTCTCCGTTCCTCCGAGGATGAAGCCCCTCCGCCACTTCCGCGAGGCGACGACAATCGGGTCGCCGTTCCAGCTCTCCCACCTCAACTTGATCAGCATACCCGAGTTATACCTGTACGACAGCGCAAGCTTCATACCTTCCATCCCCTGGAGCCCCGCCGACTCGCTCTCGCTGCTCATCACGATCGTCAAGTTCACGGGCGTCGACGGCTCGGCGTTCCAGTCCCCCGAGTTCGCCCTCTTCCACCTCGTCCTCGGTCGCTGCACGCTGCCTGAAGGCCCGTACCGAGACGAGACTCTTCCGGCCGGCCACCCACCTCGCTCTGATCCAGGTGCCCGTGGGCACGTCCAATCGTCTAGCGGCCGTGGTCCTGCGGCGCCCTGCCCGCGGGATCGCGCCCTGTGGACCCGGGGGGCCCGTCCCCCAGCGCGCACTGCGTGTGCGATGCGTCAGTCGAGTTCGACGCCCGCCGCGGGGCGTCGACGGGCGCGCACGACTGCGCGAGGGATCACATCCGCGGGTGGACGCGGTGGACGCGGACGGTCCCGGGCGCTCGAGGTGTCGTTCACGACGAGTTCGCTGGGCGGGGCTGGGGGGGTGTTGAAGATGGCGCTGCGGATCGTGTCAGAACCCGTCGATGTGCGCTGATTTCACAAGGCTTGGTCAAATTACGCACTTCGAGTTCTCAGCTACGGTCACATTCCCCGGTTTCTACAAGCCTAGAGGCGCGTATTGTGGTGTAGCCCGTGAGCGATGAATGTGCATGGGATGATACACAAATATCGGTCTATCTTTCTACTTATCCTACGGCTCTCGGGCCGTCTCCATCTCGATCAGAACAGCAACAAGACCGCCTCCGTCGAGCGCAAATCCAACCCTTCGCTCAGCACCAGACAGCGATGGAAGTGGCTGAGTCAGCGGCCGGGTATTGCCGTGAGCGGAGTTAGCTTCCGTCAGGCCCGTGCGGCGCGACGCGGGTTAGCGCCGTTTCTGCCTTCAGCAAACTACATATGTAAGGGCGCCCACTGCGTCCCGCCGCACAGACGGCCTCGGAAGCGCGCGTGATGGTCCAGACCGCCTTGACAGCCGCACAGGAGTTGGGACAACCGCATAGGGCATGGATATAGGTTGGATATAGGCTGCGCGTACTTATACGAAAGTGAAGCGATTCTGCTCGTTATCGCCGGAGCAGGTGCGCGTTTTATGCTGACGAAAATCCGTCAATTAGACTCAGACGAGACAGTCCCGGAGAGCTGTCTCCCCAGACTCCCGGACGAGGAAGGACATCCGGTGTTGAGGAGCCTGTCCTCAACGAAGGCAGTGGCGGCGACGGCGGAGCTCGACACAGAGCGGGAGCAGCAGTGTTGGAAGGACGTATACTACTCCCCGCGATGGCCCGGGATTAAGGATGAGCGGGGAATCGGTTCGTCGTCTTGGGCTACCCGGGCCCACGACATGCACCCCGCTGATAGACGAGGTTCTAGGCCGACGATGTCGTGCGCCTGAAAGGGGGCGGCACTGACCTCGGACTCCGACATGAAAATTTTACTCTCAGTCGGAACTCAAGTGCTCAAGGACGAGGTGAGAGGGGCTCGCTGTTCAGCCTCCCGGCAGTCAGCCTCCCTCGTCCCCGTCGCCAGTCGCCTCGTTGTTAGCCCCCATCGTGATGGTTCGCCGCTCTGAGCCCTCAAAAGATGAACAGGAGTCGTCGGACGAGACCAGGTGTCCTCCCCTCCGAATCCTTCTCCGTGATCTCAGCCCCAGGCCCCCCGTACTCGTCTTCACCCTCGCTCGTCACATCCTTGTGCGAATCAGCATGGTCTCCAGATTGCGCAGCAAATGTGAGCACGCCATTGCTTCCTATCCAGACGTTGGTTGACATTTGAGCTCATCGAACCTAGCCTTCGACGCGCTCCGCGCCGAGAACGACGCGCTCCGCGCCGAGAACGACGAGCTCCGCGCCAAGATCGACGAGCTCAACGCCAAGATCGACGAGCTCAGCGCTGAGCTCGCCAAGGAGAAGCGCCTGCGTCAACGTGACCAAGAGCGTCGTGAGCGTACGCCCTCGGCTGGCACGAACGACGGTTCTTCGGACAGTCGTCACTCCAAGGAGGGACCATCGACTGTCGAGGCGGCAATGCACCACGGGCACCAGGTCAAGCCGAGCCTCACCGCAGTCGCACCCGGAGACGACCAGTTCATTCTCCAAGAACCGAGCGAGGCGAACCTCCAGGGCGCCCAACGGCCCCACGTGCACCTGCCCGTTGCCCAACAGTACCCTGCCCCCGAAGTCGACACCGCAGACGAAGGGGCCCCACTCAAGGACGACGAACAGCGCCCGCCTCCCCGAGCTCCCATCGTCATCAAGCCCCCCACCGTCACCAATCCCGACGTCCCCTCTCAAAGCACCACTGGTAGGGCATAGATAGTGGGTTATCTTGGAATCTGTGATCAGCCGTGCCTGCGACATGTGTGGTCCGACCATGGGCGACGCCAATGTCCGCCCTTCACCGCTGCCGCAGGGCGGCTACAAACGGGGAGCGAAGCGCAGAAGGAGCGAAACGAGCCTGAGCGTACCGCGATGGATATATGCGTAGTGCAACAATATGAGCGGCTCTTGTAGTGCGTGATATCCTCGCCACGTTCGCGCCAGGGCATCCAATATCCATCTGCAGCACACAGACAGGCATACATCAACTAACGCGGCACCAGAACGAGTGAAGAAGAACGGGGAACGTACCACCGTCGCCCGAACCCGGCCCATTCCCGCCATCCCTCATCGCAACCCCGCCCTCCGGCGCGCCCTGCGTGTGGTCCAGAGTGGATTTATGTGTGCTACCGTGCGGTCCCCTCGATCGAGCACTTTCTTGTGATTGGCTTCCATGTGATGTTTCGCCACTGCAACGGGGAGCTGGAGAACGTCCTAGAAGAGGTCGGGGCAGATCGCACTGGAGGAGGAGGGGACTGTTGGGTGGCCGCCATACTCACTAACTGGAAGCGGTAGTCGAGGATCTTGAATGCATGAATGAGCCCATCATCGAGCCGGGCAGGAGACGTACGCACCGGCAAGAGGTCGGGCTCGGTCGGTGTGAAAGGGTATGAGAAGTTGGGCTCACGTCGCGTCCTGCGCACGCACAGCTCAACCCCCCTATGAAAGAAAACCAGCGGACAAGGCTCACCGGGAAATCGTCCCCAGCACGTAGTCCCATCTCCACGCATATAGCCCCTTTACTTGCTCCATGCACACCTGTCTCATGCGGTCAGCGAGTCTCTCCTAGAACACACATCAAATCTCTGGCCTCACTTTGTCCACACGAAGCTCGCGGGGATCCGTAAGGACGTTCAAGCCGGTAAGTGGAGACTCGACCTCAACTCCGAGTCTAGGTACCAGAGTACCGAGCACGGCCTCGCACGTTCGGCCAAAGGAGATCTTTTCGGCATGGTGGAAAACGAAGCCATATGGTCGAGAGGTGAACGGAAGTGATGGTAGAGGGCACCACGAGGTCAGTTACGAGGTCGACGTAGTGGCTGTGGAGAGGGACAGACTCCGGCGTCTACGCTCTACGTGCATTCCGCTCTCATCTCTCGACAGCCGACATTGCGCAGATGGTCGTCAAGAAATGGCTCATGACAATACGCGCGAGGGTGATTTCAGGTTGTATCCTTGAGCTACTTGGTACCAACGCCCTTCCAGTGCTGAACATAATGCGGCGCGTCGAAATACGCGCCAACTCTATCGATGTCCATTGTCCTCCTGCACCCACTCCTCACTCTCTTCAAATTCTTGCGCGGACGGCCAAGGGCCCACCTCAACCCAGCCGGACGACGGGCGGCTCTGCTCCTCGCCGGGGAGAGGGTGGGGATGAGGAGAGACAATGTTCAACGAGGGGGCGCTCTCCGGACGCTCGTGCGTCCACCTCCACCGCCGTACTTCCTTCGAGCCGCGCTCGAGGCTGGGTCCACGATACTCGGCGAAAAACGCTTCGATCGGCCGCACGCCGCGTCCCACGCGCACCCACGTGAAGTATTCATCGAACAGCGCCTCCCAACGCGCCGCGACGCCCGTCGGCCCCGTCGGATTGTCTCCGAGGTTGAGGACGAAGATGCGGAGCGCGGGGCAGAGCGCGTCCGGGCCCGGCCTGCGCAAGCCGAGCGCCTTGAAAATCGGCAGCAGGAACGCGTGGAATGAGCAGTCGTCCAGCCCGCCCGTTCGGTCTTCCAGCGCGCGGTCCGAGAAGGAGAGGGTGAGCTCGTCGAGCGCCGGCATGCGCATGAGGAAGAAGAGCAAGGTGTCCAGCATTGTGCTGCTGCGCGTCAGAGCGATGTCGAGCGATTTTATGGACGCGAGGGGCAGACCGCGCAGGTCGCGGGGACGGTTCTTGAGGGAGAGGTTCCGGATGTGCAGCCGGCCGGCCGGGCGCATCGACTCTGAAGGGAGGTGCGGGCCGTCGAGGAGGATGGAAATGTGCTTGCTGAAGAGGTGAAGGGACAGGTGGGTGGAGAACAGAGGGTGTTGGGGGACGTGCCATCCTGAATGGAGGTCGAGTTCCCGATCGGGATTGAGGATGAGGTACACGTGCGCGTTCGGTGGAAGTGCAATGCTGTCGACGAGGCGACGAGCGCTGTTGAAGTCGCATTGGACGATCGTGATAGCTCTCAACGATGGCAGAGAGATGGGGTGAGCTTTCACGTTCGCATCGCTAGTGCGAACGCAGTCGTTTTGCGCTGAGTTGTAACGAAGGAAGATGAATTCCAGGTGCAAAGAGGAAGCGAGAAGCGCCCGGAATGGCTGAAGATGGTGGTCCTTGTAATATGGAGGAAAGTCCCAGAATGACAAAGAGAGATGAGTGAGTTGTGGGAAGGGGCCGGACGGGAACTTAACTCCCGGCGATACAGCGAGTGCCCGCAATTGCGACGGAAAAGCGGTGGGGAGAAACGCTTCCGGCGCCTTGGCGGGAATTGAACGATTTCCGTAGCCCCAGGGCACTACCACGTATCGCGAAGGGAATGCGACCACGAGAGATTGAAGACGAGGTGCTTTGAGGGGGAATATTTCGGCGAAAGCCTCCCAAAACTCGGGGGCTCTGATAACGCGACTGTCCTTGGGATCGGGAGAGAGGATGATCCGGAGGCTGACGATGCGAGATTGAATGTCGGCATCAACAATCGCCTTCGTGAACGGATCGCCCATAAATATCGAGATACAAAGAGGAGAGGTCCTGGCGCGTTGAAGACAAGTTGGAAAGAAGTCTTCTGGTGCACCTCTCCAGGCACTAGCGTGGATGTATGACCATAGGTGAGGAGTGGTCGTCGTAAGCGAGCGCCATGACCGACAGACGTGAGATATGCTGAGAAGGGTCTTAGTGCGGCCCCTCGCGGCCTGACCTGTGGACTTGGTGTCCTCGTGAAGAGTGGCGAAGATAGAGCGCATTGAGAGGTTAGACGGTAGGAGGGCTTGCTCATAGATCTTGAGCAACAGCTCATCTGGAAGTCGCTCTATTCCCGAACGGGAGTTCATGGAGGAGTAGATTCTACGGAGATAGTCGGTCCACATGTTTGCAAGTACGAACAGCTTTGAGGCGATAGTTAGCTCGTCCGCTACTTCCAAGAAGAGAATGATTCTGACATCATTGGCACTGCAGGACGGGAATAAAGTCATGAATATACTGTTGCAGCAGATGAAGTTAAGACTCTCACTTGAGTTTCGATAGATCAGTGTCATCTTGAAGTGCTCGATGACGCTGGATGAGTTGGACGAAGTCTTCATCGTTCCTCATACCGACAAGCAGCTATGTTTATACGAACGGCAGATGGCGCAGAGAGGCGTGTTAGAAAACTCAACAAGGATCAGAGTCCAGACTGCATGAGCTTACATGAGGTGAGGTACAACGGAGTGATTAGTGAGACGTGACTGCGCGCCGCCAGGCGAGGAGTCCTGCAGGCTGCCAGCTCATCAGCGGGGCGACGGGTAATCTTATCTTATCTGATCCACAAAACCATGATCTCTTTGACCGTGCTCCAATACGCAATTACGAGAGACACCTGTGGCATTCGGTACCAGGCAGATGGGTGGAGGATGTACATGACGGACACCGCAACCTGGACAGAGCGAAGCCGGTGTCTCGCCGGTCACCTAAACAATATAATACCACTAGTCCGAACGCACTGCATGGGTAGTTACTTTAGTGCCCGCACCATCAAACCCATATGGCTGCAGCAACGTACATATCCATCCAGTGCACATACCCATGGTCGACTAATTGTAGCACTTCAAGAAGTCCCCGTCCCCACTACGCCGCGCGTACCCCTGGCTCTCGACGAACGCGCCCAGCGCACACATACGCTCCCCACGCTTCAGCCCACCCCCGCAGAACTCGAGCGGCTGCGGCTCGTCGTTCACGAGCACGCGCACAAACGTGCCCGCCCCGCGCGGGCCACCCGCCGTGCACTGCAGGCGCTCCGTGACCATGCGCGACGAGAAGGGCACCATGCGCGAAGCGACCCACGTGCTTGCGTCGCCGCTTGCGGTGGGCACGGGGCGGGCACGGGGGTCCAGCGGGGTCGCAGAGATGTTGAAGAGCCCGAGCGCGGAGTACACGGCGACCATGAGGTTCTCGTGCGTGAAGTCGGCGTAGATCGCGCGCCCGAGCGGGAACTCGAGCGAGGCGTTGTGCGTCGTGTGGTCCTCCACCGGGCTGTCCGTCAGGCGCGCGAGGAGCTCGTTCACGTAGCCCACACCGCGGACGCGGCCCAGCTGCGCGCCGTACCTGTTTTTCGCGGGTTTAGAAAGCGATGTAAGATGGGAGAGACGGAGTACTGACCCGGTCCGGTAGTACTTCTCGAGGTCGCCGAAGTACTCGAAGTTCCGGAAGTCTTCTTCGGTGAACAGCCGGCAGAACGCCGACTCCTCTTCGAGTGCGACGGACTCGAAGGGGCACATCGCGAGCAGCCCAAAGACGTGCGTCGCGTTCAGGTTCGCACCCGGGGCAAGGGCGTTCAGGCGCGCGGCCAGCGCGGCACCGAAGATCGACAGCCAGATGGAGGTTTCGAATGAGCCGTCGGGTGCGGAAGGGCAATCTTGGTTGAGCGTGTTGTTGACATCTTCGGATAGGGCGACATTGAGGTATGGCTGTACTCGCTGATGGCTGCCAACCGCGAAGCCTACGTAACGTTGAGCCAATGACTGGGGCCAAGGGTTATAGACGTACCGACAGTCCAGTTCGTCGCCGTCGACATCACGCGCGGTGCATCCGCAGCGCGTACGAAAGGGACATTGTGAGGATCGACGAGGTGCTTGTACCGCTTGTACGCGATCTGCCCCGACTCGAACGTTCTGTATCTTCAGGTCAGCATGGCTCGCTGACAACGTGCTGCGTAGCTTACTGTGCAGCGCCAAACGGCACGAGGTCGTCCGCGCCCAGCGTGTATTCGTAGCCCTTCATGAACCTGAGTCGCTTGTCGGTGAACTTCTCCGCGGTCGCAAGTTGACGAACGCCAAGGGCGTAGAGTTCGCCGTCTTCCTCGTTCGGGAAGCGTGCCCCATGACGCTGGAGCTGGAAGAGGAACCAAGCACGCGTAAGTCCAAGAGGAATAAGGGAGGGACAGAGCACGCACTATGTTAACCTAGACCGCCCCCATAGCCAAGCTATCGTCAGTAAAAAAGCACGAATTAGGGTGCCAGCAGAGGCTTGTCTCGCCGTCACACGACCTCTCCCCCAAGGCAGAACCGTGCCTCCAACACGCGGCCTCCTCCCACCCCGGGGCCAAGTCCCCGCCCACTTCCTCCGCCGCCATATGTCGCCCACTTCACAGCCAAGAGATAGACCCACCTGTGTAATATTGCACCCCGCCGGGGGAGGCTCGTACGTCTGCAGCGCGTGCCATGGGGAGTACATCGCCCACTTGGTTTGGATCGCCTTCGGCACCCCGAGCGGCGGCGCCTTGATCACGCCCGCCGGCGTGCCCCACCACGTCCTCGCCCCCTCTCCCGTCGTTACAGACGCATTGGCGTCATCGTGGCCGGCCTCGGGGGCAGACGGCGCCGCGCCGTAGTAGCACCACCAGATCGCGTAGAGCCCGAAGGCGGCGACGGTGATCGTGGTGCGGATGCACCCGTTCGTGAGCCAACCGTGTTGTTCGCGCACGGGGTGTGCGCGCGGCTCGATGATAGCGTTTGTGGACGCTGTGGACGAGTAGGAGGGGAGGGTGTGGAGGCTGTTGAGGCTGTTGCCGCGCTTCGTCTTGTTTTGAGGCCAGTGAAGGGGCATTGCGCGTTTGTGCGGGGCTAGGAGGACGATGGGGGTATGTGGAAAGTGATAATGGTTGCATGGCACGAGAGGACGGGGTTTTCAGCGTCGACCTTGCGTCTTAGAGCGTGAAGAGGTGAGGACGGAAACTATGTCCTCGGGTGATGTCACCGGAGTGACGCCGGTGCACATGGTAGCGAGAGCGCAAACCTTTTTGCATCCGCGAATGGCCCCGAAGAGTCAAGACACTGGGTACGGCAGCGAGGGCGTCGCCGTCGCGCACACCGCACGCGCGCCCCGTCGATAGTGAGGTCGTGGGCATTTTGGAGTCGAGAACACTAATAGATGTGTCAGCCTTTGCACCTACAACGGGATAAACTCGCCTACAGTAGCCTTCGGAAGTAGGGATTCACTCCCCAGTACACTCTCAAACGGTTTGCGCAACCCTAGAAGGACATTTTGGCTGTCCAGAGGCTATTTGAGCTTGTGGCAGGCCTTCTTTCCAGGGCCGCCCCGGAGATTGTGAATCTAGACCACATGCAGCACAATCAAGGTAGCAGCGCAGATGTGCTTCGATTTGTGCGGAAATGGAACGCACGAGGAAACATGCTGCACGTAGATCCAGCAGACTGGGGTAGGATAGCGTGATGGGGTGTATACAACATTGAACAAGGTAGATATGATACACGTCGGGGTATAGATACAGCAAAGGACTGGGATCTACGCAGCTGCGGTGCTCGTCGATGGTGCGAACGGGTCAAAGGGCAGGTCGCGCGTCTTCAGCGTTTTCTTCTTCGTGCTCTTCTTCACCTTGCCTATACGCGCATGTTCCAATCAATCACACGGAGAACAAGAAGACTACGACGCACGTGCTTTCCGCTTCCGCACCGGGACCATCTCCGCCTGTTCTCCTTCCTCACTATCCAACGAGAGATCCAAAGCGGCGCGCTCCCTGGACGTGGCAAGGGAGGTGCAGGACACGCAGGTGCAGCCGCGATAGGCGTAGTCGTAGTCGTACCCGTTCTCGTCGCGGACGGACATGACGCGAACGAGAGATTGCTGGTACTCCTGGCGGAGCTGCGCGACCTGCGCGGAATAGATCCGCGGAGCGACGGAGATGGAGGAGAGGGTGGGAGCCGAAGATGTCTTTGTCTTTGTCTGACCCCTGGACTTCGCGGAACGCGCGGGCATGGGGTACTTGTCCATGGCGTGCTCGAAGGAGATGAGGGCGGTTTGGGCGATCGCGTCCATCTCGATGGCGGAAGTCGGGTCAAGTACGTCGTAGTCGTAGCCCAGCATGCACTGCAGGTAGGCGGCGAAGACGTTGGGCACGATGATCTCTTGTCCGCGCTCCACCACGGACGCGATCGCGCGATCGATGTTGTTGTTTTGCATGAAAGAGATGTGCTGGAATGGCGAGGATGAGCTGCGGTTGTCGGTGGAGGGTGAAGCGCAATGGGTGGGGAGGGAGACGCGAGGGGCGGTTTATGAATACGGTGTAGGGAGAAAGCAACGGATGGCGAAGGGGACAAAGCGTGTTGCCACGCGGCTGAGTGGGAAATCTCGCACCTGATGTACTCAAAAGATCCGTCCACTGGGTGGCAGAGGCATCGGAGGCGTGCCACAGGCCACTGTCCACATTTGATCTTGTACCGTACAAGACGCCCCGTTCAGATTTTTGTTGTCCCGCTATGCGCAGCTCAGGGGCGACCGAGATGACAAGACTTGACGCTGGACTGGGGGCTGAGAAGGCGCGCTTGGAGGTATGCAAGACATAAACTCAGCGAAAAGATGGGAGGAAATGAGGTTCATTGCCCGCGAAGGGGCAAGTGGGGAGAGCGGTGGTCATTGCGGTCCAAGCCGTGCTCGACGGTGTGGCCGATGGTGGTGGCAAGCCCGAGAATGGCTAGATGCTCTCAGGATCACGTGAATTCTACACGGATCTCTTCTCGCGAGTCGCTGGCCGCCTTCGCTTTTTCTTCGTACCTCCAGTTCAATTGGCTCGCTGAACGCTTTCCCTCTCGCTCGCGATGCCTCATTCCCTGGACAGATTGTCTTCGTTCTCTCAGCGCCATCTTGGCGTGTTACGACTCGCCCCCATGCAAGCAGGCAAGTCGAGATGGAGAACGAACATCCCTCGGTAAGAGGTGAACCGGAACGATAAACCTCTAGACGGTCAAGTTCAGGTACATTCCGTGCTCATTAGTACCATGTATCCAGTACGTTTCATATGACGCATCCCCTTCCCAGTCGCGGTCCGGTGTGCCGTCAGATAAGAGGTCCCGTGAACAGAGTATCGAGCTAGAGGAGCTAGTGAGTGAGTCGTCCCCATCACTGCGAGGTATCCTGCGGACGACGGTCATGGCGGCCACAACCACACAAATTACCCTCAACTGGACGTGGAAACAACGAGACGAGTCCGTCGCGTCGGTCCTCGAGGAGTTGGGATCTTCATGGAACATGGCCACAGAGTTTCCGTCGGAGATCCATGTCGAGCTTCTCAAGGTGAGTCAAATTCACCGAATTATTCGCGCACATCCTTTCCACTCGAACAGGCCGGCAAGATACCAGACCCTTTCTTGGGCTTCAATGAGCACGAAGTGCAATGTGAGCCAACCCAGATTCCCCGCCAATCCGATCTCATCGTACATCTCAGGGATCGGCGAGACCGAGTGGCTATATGCCACCACGTTGGACGTACCAGTCGGGGAGCGCAACTGGAAGCATGCGGAGCTCGTGTTTGACGGTCTTGACACGCTCTGCGACGTCTATCTGGTTCGTTCTCTGCATGGTCTGTCTTTCTTGGCGACGTTGACGACGCCCCTCGCAGAATGGAAAGAAAGTGCTGTACGCGGACAACATGTTTCGCACTTGGACGGTCTGTGAATTCCCATCCCCTCATAATGCGCCGTCTATAGGATGCTTTTGCAGGTTCCCATGTCGCGAGACGTCTTGAAAGACACTGGCAACACACTCCTCCTCCACTTCAAGTCTGCGAAGAAGCTCGCGCTTGAGCTCGAGAAGCAGTTTGGGCGTGTCCGAGCCGGATCCACCAATCTCGGGCACCCAAGTCGCGTCTATGTTCGCAAAGCGCAGTACGGTTGGCGGTGGGTCTCCATCCGATCTCTCTCCGATATCAGAACTGACTTTATGATCCTAGCTGGGATTGGGGACCGGAACTCATGACATGCGGCCCGTACCGCCCCATCTCTCTCATCACGTACGCTGTGCGCATCCAGTCCGCCAACACCCGTGCCCAGGTCTCTGCAGCGCCTGCGCTAGCTCCTTCGCTCAAGATCGATATTGCAGTTGCTGGGGACGCTCAAGCCGTCAAGGGCGTGAACGTCGTGCTCAAAGATACGGATGGCAAGACTCTTATCGGAGAAGACATCACCAGCTTGAACTTCAAGGAAGACCGAGGGTCAAGTCTGATCAAGGACCTCACTTTCGATCTGCAGGATAAGGGCATACAGCCGTGGTGGCCAGTGGGTTATGGAGCGCAGACGATGTACAATGCGGAAATTTGTCTTCTAGGCGAGGTTCGTGGATAATTCCATACGCATATATCCAGCCCACCATATCTATCCTACAGGGCGGGGTGGTTCTCGACAAGGTCGCGAAGAGGATCGGCTTCCGGAGCGTTGAACTCATCCAAGAGCTACTCGAGGAGGAGGATCGTTACGGCAAAGGGACGACGTTCCTCTTTGAGGTCAACGGCGTGCGCATGTTCATGGGCGGTACGTCTGCGATCTCTGTCATCGCTCGACATCCGCTGATTTCGAGGATAGGATCGAACTGGATTCCTGCACACAACTTCCTCACCCAACTCACGCCGGAGAAGTACCGCGCGTGGCTTACGCTCATGCGTGATGGGAATCAGAACATGGTTCGTCTGTGGGGAGGCGGTATATACGAGCCTGACGTCTTCTACGACATCTGTGACGGTACGTCGCGGGTTCACTGTCCGAACACTGGTTGCTGACATGCGTTCCAGAGTTGGGTATCCTCGTTTGGCAAGACTTCCAGTTCGCTTGTGGAGTCTATCCGGCGCACGATGAGTTCGTAGCAAGCGTGCGTGCGGAAGCGGTCGACAACGTGACTCGCCTCCGTCACCATCCATCTATCGCCATCTTCTGCGGGAACAACGAAGGTAGGCCCCTACGTACTCAGATCCGCGAAAGCTCCTCATTGTATGCATAGACTACCAGATGGTCCTTCAATGGGGTGGTACGTACTTCGCCTCCCATTCTTCTCCTTGCTTTGACGTATCCCCGCACCTCAGACGTAGCAGACCTGCCCGCTCGTCTGCTGTACGAGGATGTCCTCCCCTCCGTCGTCTCTGAGCTGTGCGACCCGCCCATCCCGTACCACCGCGGCTCCCCCTATGGTGGCAAGGGGTGGGACACGGCCGACCCCACCATCGGCGACGTCCACCAGTGGGATATCTGGGGCGGGAAGGAGCTCCCGTGGCAGCAGTATCCCGACCGCGGTGGCCGTTTCGTGAGGTACGCGCACTTCATATGGATGTTGATTATTCTCTCATCCAAGTATCCCCATATAGCGAGTTCGGGATTCCCTCGTTCCCGGACATCAAGACGGTCGACTACTGGCTCAACGGCGATACGAATAACCGGTGGGCGCAGTCAAAGGCGATCGCGCAGCACGATCGCGCCGGTGGGCACGAGAGACGCTTTGGCATCGTCATGAACGAGAACTTCAGGCTGACCACCGACTTGGAGACGTAAGTTTGTACTCTCCCACACGAGTCCACAGGCTGACTGGAGCGGCAGGCACGTATACAACACCCAGATCATGCAATCGGAGGCTGTGAGCCTGGCGTATCGCGCGTGGAAGCGCGAATGGAGAGGCAAAGGGAAGCAGTTTGTAAGTTCATGTTGATCGTCTTCACTGTGTATACGGCTTTTGACGCGCTTGGCAGACTGCGGGCGTTCTTGTTTGGCAGTTGAATGACTGCTGGCCGGTCATCTCGTGGGCAATCGCCGACTTCTTCGTGAGCTCATTGACGTTCCGTGGTGTTTTTGTTACTCATTCTCGGAATCCCAGTTGCGAGCCAAGCCCGTCTACTACACAATCGCGCGCGAGCTGAAGCCCATTTCCGTCGCCATGCTCAGGATGGTAAGCGAAGTTTACAGCATGCCCCTTCATCTCGGAGCTAAGTGCGCGCGATGTAGGTTACGCAGAACCGGGAAAACGACCGGCCTAAGCAGGTACGCCGTCCCCTTCATCTCCGCCCTCGCTTCTTTTCCGATACCTCCTCAGTTTTACGAATTCGGCGCCTTCCGCTCCGTCTCCGCCAGCCTCGCCGTGTGGGGCACGAACAGCACCCTCGCCCCACGCCGCGTCCGCCTCGAGCTCTCCTTCTTCGACGTCGCCTCCGACTGGACGGCCACCCAGACGCTCGACGCCACGCTGCTCCCGAACCAGACTACCGAACTCCTCGAGCTGCGCGTGCCGGGGCCCAGCGCGCCCAGCGCGCACGCGGTCGACCCGAGCCACAGCGTCGTCGCCGCGGCGCGCCTCGTGGATGCGGAGACCGGGGAGGTGCTCGCGCGGCACGCGGACTGGCCGCAGCCGTACCGGCTGGTCGAGTTCCCGGACCCGGAGCTCAAGGTCGTCGTCGACGCGGAGGCAGGGCGTGTGCGCGTGGAGGTGGCGCGGCCGGTCAAGGGCTTGTTCCTCACGGCGGACGAGGAGGCCGAGGGTGCGCTCGGGCGGGATGAGGGCGTGAAGTGGAGCGACAACGCGCTGGACGTCGTCCCGGGAGACCCGAGGGAGATTGTGGTGAGCGGGCTGAAGGGGAAGGGGGTGAAGGTGCGGGCGGCGTTCATGGGCTGCGAGAAGGGGCGGGTGGTATACAGTCAGTAGAGGCGAATGCAGTCGTTGTGGTGGATGACCCGTTCCTGTGGACTGACGAAATTGATACCGGTGCTCATAAAATCAGGTACATAGGGAGGGAATACTTGAGATAAGATAAGATAAGATCTCGTGCCGCTTACGTAAGTCTCTGCACCTTCGTCACGCATTTGCTCGCCATTCCTCTTAGTCTGCTCTCACTTTGTGCGTGAATGACCGCCATTAGCATGCCAGGTAATATGGAATATGATCTTGGTAATCAAGAGAAACCCGGCGAAAGGTGTGTACGGACATTGAGCTGGACGATAATCGTTTCATCTGACCAGCCATGCTGCAGGAGCGTACCCGCTTACACCGGTCAAACTACTTATTGTGGCGGATTTGGCCATGGAGAGGAAGAGGCTGAGGAGACAGTCTTGTCACTCCGTCCCCCCCACACTTACGCATACATGCGGGTTCGCCGACCGCCCTCCCCCGGGTCGAATGAGTGCTGGTCGATTACTGCTCGAGTTTTTCCTCAGGTACATATTTGTGAAAGGCGTTGCTTACACTGGTGATTTGTTACCAGCTTCATGCCCAAGTTGATCAGCATCGCCGGAGCTACTTACACTAATGATGAGCGCTTGTTAGCGGGCCGTCGTGGGCCCGCTCGGTGAGCTATTCGCACTAGCCGAAGCACTCGTCCCGCTGACACATATACCCATTCTCTCAGCTACACCCGATCCCCGAGGCCTCAACGCAGCGCATCTCGGAGGTATAAGATCACGAGATGCACGAATCAGCTTCATCGTCCCTTCAGACCCCTCCTCCTCCTCCTCCTCCTCCAGGCTACCAGCTTCCGATATGTCCAAAGACTCGGAGAAAGCACTAACACCCTCGGAAGAGGGAAGCCTTTCTGTCGCCGATGATGCCCCTCAGAAAGCCGTAAGGATGGACGGCGGCCTGAAGGCTTGGTTGACCGTTGCAGGAGCTTCGGTGGCACTGTTCGTCGGTTTCGGCCAAGTCAGCGCTTTCGGGACGTTTCAGACCTACTACGCACACCACCAACTCAGCGAGCTATCGCCCTCGACAATATCATGGATAGGGTCGTTACAGTTCTTCACCTTCTTTTTCTCGGTTGGTGTCTCGCGCTTCAATTTTCATCTCATGTGACACTGATCAGCGCACTTTGCAGGGAGGTTTCATCGGCCGAATATTCGACACTTTCGGACCGAAGAGGATCCTCGCTCTGGGAACGATTTTGTTGACCTTCGCAACCATGATGATAAGCTTGTCCACCAAGTACTATCAGTTCATTCTCGCGCAGGGCGTCTTGTTCGGGCTGTCTATTGGGATGATGTAAGTGGCTCTGCACTTTTGTCGTAGCGCTTCTTTGACTCTTAAGTGCTTGTCGCAGCTTCTTCCCATCGCTTGCTGCGCTTTCAACTCACTTTGAAAAACGAAGAGGTGCCGCAGTTGGAATTGCGTTCGCGAGCGCAGGGTTAGGTAAGTGCGCAACCATCCTCCTTTGTGAGCAAGCGACTCATGCTGGTCCAGGTGGAGTTGTCTACCCCATCATGTTCAATCGTCTCTTCTCCGAGATTGGCTTCGCGTGGACGGTTCGCATTGTCGGGTTCATGTCCCTCTTCCTGGGAACCTTCTCGACAGCAACTGTCTCCAGTAACCGGAAACACGGGCGAACCGGTGCTCCACTCCTGTACCCCACCATTTACCACGACGTCCATTTTATGGTCTTTTGTGTCTGCTGCATGATCGCCGCAGTCGGTACGCCCCTGGTTCTCATTCGCTGGTACTTTCGTCGCTAACCGTCGCGCCATCCCAGGCGTCTTCATCCCCTTCTTCTACCTCGCCAACTACGCCATCGCTCACGGAATCGCCCCGTCGACCGCCTTCTACCTTATCTCCTGCATCAACGCCGGGAGCATCGTCGGCCGCCTCGTACCCCCCATGCTCTCCGACCGCGTCGGGCGCTTCAACGTCATCGTCCCCTCGGCCTTCGCCCTCGGCCCCTGCGCCCTGGCGTTCTGGCCGTTCGCGAAGAGCCTCGTCGCGATGGTCTTCTTCGCGCTCCTCTGGGGCGCGTTCTCCGGCGCGTTGATCGCGATGATGATCCCGTGCGTCGCCCAGATCTCGTCCGACCCGAAGGAGATCGGGACGCGGATAGGGGTGCTCTACAGCACGATTTCCTTCGGGTGAGCAAGATCGCCACCGTTCCGTCACCGAGAGATGTGCTGACCCAGTTTGTTGTTGTTGTCGTCGGGAAGGGCGTTCGCGGGCGGACCGGCGGCGGGCGCGATTCTGCAAGACTTGGACGGGTCCTACCTGGGGATGATGTGGCTCTCGGGCGCGGCCGTCGTCGTGTGTGCGTCCGGGTTGTTGTGGATTAGACTGAGGCTGGACTCTCGCATCTTCGTTAGAGTATAGATGTCCGCTTAATGGTGCGCTTTATCGGACGTGGCGGCGGCGTGGTCTTAGATTGTTGTACGCTATCCGTTTGCCTCTGTATCTACTAGTACTACGACGACCTAATACAACGTGAAATCGCTTTCCTCTCCCCTCTGCCGCGCGTGCAAGAATTAGATTTATTTCGAGGTGCTGATCGAAGAAATGGACTGTTCGGACTGAGAGGCGCTTCGCTGCTGGACGCGTGCGCAGACCTTCCCGGGCGAGGACCGCGCGCGCTGCGCTCGCGGCTGCCGCGGAGATGTGGCATCAGCTCCGGAAAGATAATACGGCGTAAATACCGGCCCATGCGGGGGGACTTTAATCCCTTGGTCGCGGCGGATCGTACGTGTTGCCACAGACGTGCTGGATATGGAAAGGAACCTGTCGGGTCCGATAGCCCCCCGCGGAACACGGACTGGTACGCGAACGAGGAGGCCTTTGTGCTGGACGACTTGCGTATGGTCATAGAGTACTGGGAGGTCGGGAAGACGGCGTAGCCCGTGTAGAGAGTTGGCCGTCCTGCGAGATAGAAGGAACGCACATTACGTGTCGATGACACTCTTTAGACCTATCTGTCCACAGATCCGGAGACTGCTACTTCCGTCCTCTCACTTTCCGCACGCGCCCACGAAGAGCCCGCGGACGGGCCAATGGCAAGCGCGGCGGTATCGCCCGATTCGCGACGTCGCCGAGAGCCGTCCTATGTACGAACCCTTCCGCATCGAACGCCTCGCCCGAGTCGCTGTAACGTACAGATCGCGCTTAGATTACCTCATCGCGTCCCCACCCCCGCGCACGATCGCCATCTGTCGGAAAAACCGATTGGGCATTACCAGCGCTGGCAACGGCATTGCAATAGTCGCCAGATGACGATGACTTGATATGTCATCGCAAGCTGACTAGTTTCTCATGCCATGCCATTGCAATTTTGCCAGACGCCGTTGGGATCACATTCCCATGCCACGCTGGCATTGCAAGCCGGTCCGGTGACATCGCCACGCGAGAAGCGGAGATAGCCACTTAAGGTCCCGGAGTTACCCCGATCAAGTCGGTCAGCCGGGACACCGCCATTTGCCGAAGGTACCGTTCACCCGGGCTCGGCCGGACTCACCCGGTTACCTCGGCAGAGTCGTCCGGCCGGACTCACCTGGTTTTCCTGGGGGAGCCGTTCGGCCGGATCCGGTTGAAGTAAGTATGGTGTATAGTATGTGTAAATATGTTGTAGGGTGTATGTAAAGCTTCAATTAGGTAGCTTGGCATTATGAAGGGCAGCTAATGGGGTATATACCGCACACTGCACAGGTAGGGCTAGGGTGTGTTACAGCACAGAACCCAGTCACTAGGTGCCAGCTGAGCCTACCCAAGGACACAGCAGCCACCTTTGTGACCTTACTATCTGACATAAGGTCTGGCACAGTGAGCAGGGTCCAATGCAAGTAGTGGACCACCGGGCTGTGGTGTGGGACCGACACACTGGGTGGCAGTACACAGATGGCCGGTAGTGATAGATGACCGTCGGCAAACAGACGGCCGGTGATGCAGCTTGAAGCGGACCGACTGTCGGCAGTGGAAGCCTCGGACCGGCCGCAGCGGAGCGCCGCCTGACGGCGGTCGTGCATAGCGCCGCCTGATGGCGGTCGTGCATAGCGCCGCCGCATCGGCGGCTGTGCACCGCCGCCCGCGCTCCGAGTGATCTGAAGTGGCCGCCCCCGACATGTTTGTATTCGTTCTCCGCCGTTATTCGTCGTAATAACGTGCAAAAGAGCGCGTTATGTGCGTATTGACGGCGCGAATAAAACGTACCATGGAACATTACGTTCTGTGCAGGCGCCGGCCCGTGACGTTATATGTAAAAATGGGGATGAGATGGAGTATGCTGACATTAACTTACATCGGATATATGTATGCATACCCAGATATTCTTCGCATCATCTGTGACTAACGAAAGAAGCAAGAAGCGTGAATAAATAGCAGAAACTCGCGAAGATATACTGTTTTGACCAAAAGTGTGGTTCACATGTAGGTGGGCTTCCATATGTTGGGATGGAGGATAGATATTGCATATCTGTAAGCTTTAACATTGATTGTAGTGTACACAGACCAGGAATCTATGTTTGTGCGCAGACAGATTAAGAATTGATGGTACAGTGCGATATGTCATTTTTCAATGACATACACAATATCGATACAACATGCGAGCTCATCACAGCACACAATAGCAGAACAGACTCGCCTTTACAGCAGCTTTCCAACGCAAAAAGAATCTCGAAATTCCGACAGGAACCCATGGAGATGTCGCACATGGGCTCAGAATGCATGCAGTGGTCAAGTCGTACCAAATCACCAAGCACACGAAGCCACATTCTGAGCCCATGTGCGACATCTCCATGGGTTCCTGTCGGAATTTCGAGATTCTTTTTGCGTTGGAAAGCTGCTGTAAAGGCGAGTCTGTTCTGCTATTGTGTGCTGTGATGAGCTCGCATGTTGTATCGATATTGTGTATGTCATTGAAAAATGACATATCGCACTGTACCATCAATTCTTAATCTGTCTGCGCACAAACATAGATTCCTGGTCTGTGTACACTACAATCAATGTTAAAGCTTACAGATATGCAATATCTATCCTCCATCCCAACATATGGAAGCCCACCTACATGTGAACCACACTTTTGGTCAAAACAGTATATCTTCGCGAGTTTCTGCTATTTATTCACGCTTCTTGCTTCTTTCGTTAGTCACAGATGATGCGAAGAATATCTGGGTATGCATACATATATCCGATGTAAGTTAATGTCAGCATACTCCATCTCATCCCCATTTTTACATATAACGTCACGGGCCGGCGCCTGCACAGAACGTAACGTTCCAGGGCACTTTTGATTCGCGCTGTTAATACGCACATAACGCGCTCTTTTGCATGTCATTAAGACCAATAACGGCGGAGAACGAATACAAACATGTCGGGGGGGCGGCCACTTCAGATCACTCGGAGCGCGGGCGGCAGTGCACAGCCGCTGATGCGCCGGCGCTATGCGCGGCCGCCATCAGCCGGCGCTCCGCTGCGGTCAGTCCGAGGCTTCCACTGCCGACAGTCGGTCCGCTTCAAGCTGCATCACCGGCCGTCTGTTTGCCGGCGGTCATCCATCTACTGCCCAGTGCCGGCCATCCATCTAATACCGGCCATCTGTTTATCGCCGGCCATCCGTCCATTGCCACCTGGTGCAGTGTCGGGCCTGCACCACTGCCTGGTGGTCTGCTGCTTGCATTGGACCCTGGTGCTCCCTGGTATGTCTGTCCTTGGACACCCACCTCCAAGTATCAGAGGTTTTGAAGGTGGCTGCTGCATGCTTGGGTAGGTTCAGCCAGACCTGGGTGACCAAGTTCTGTGCTATAACACACCACAGCACTACCTGTGTGGTGTATACTCCATAACTATCCAACCTTGAGGCCTAATTGATCATATGAAGCCTTACATACACCACACAACATGTTTTATGCATGCTACACTGTACTCACTTCGACCGGGTCCGGCCGGGCGGCCCCTCTGGGAAAACCAGGGGAGTCCGGCCGAACGACTCCCCTGGGAAAACCGGGTGAGTCCGGCCGGAAGACTCTGCCGAGGTAACCGGGTGAGTCCGGCCGAGCCCGGGTGAACGGTACCTTCGGCAAATGGCGGTGTCCCGGCTGACCGACTTTGCCGAGGAAAGCCGGGACATGCACTGAGATAGCAATCCAACCGGCTCAAAATGCAAGATGCGAAGTGGAGATTGGAATATGCTTCCAAGTATTCAGTCGGAGATTGAAATTCAATGAAAACACCAAAAGGTATTCTGCTTCTTGTATGCGTTTGTTAGTACCGCACCTGCTTCGGGATCAGTCAGTGCTTATTACTAGTACTTATTCGTTGTTACTTACTGGTACTTGTTCGTTGTTACTTACTAGTACTTGTTCGTTGCTACCGGTTACACTCTAGTATATGGTTCGCACGCACTCATGTCTATTGAAACTTGGTTGAACCACTATCTAATGATCACTACTATGGTCGGTGTAAAGTCATGTATATTCTCACTACTCTAATGGGTCTACATTTAGTACATCGGAAAAGCTCCCATTAACGGTCTCGAACGCGTGCAGTCACTGAACCGTAACACCGGGGCTTTCAAGAAAACCGTTACTCTAAACGGCCATTTGTATGGTACATGCTTATATGAATAAGTCACCTTCTTTTGGGGCCTCATTGAGCACTTGTTAGTTGTCGAAACACCTCTGGTAGAACAAGTAGCCGAGTGTATTGGTAAACGACGGCATGCCTCACATGTAGAGAACACTGATGCATGCATTGGGTGTATGTAGACAAAGGTGATATAGATGCGGGAAAGTCAGGATGCAGGTGCGACAAACATGCGGACCATGGTCGGCATCTGCATGGCACGAGAAGTACTGATTTCACAGCAGAATGCGGGTCATAGTATCCGTTTCAACTCCTACACCACAGCTCCGCGCTTGCGGGTGGACCGGCCGCTCCGCACCGGAGCCCCAGTCTCCGATTCAGCAGCCTGACTGCTTCTCCTCGAAGCGCCCGCGCGAGTCGTCCGCGAGGTGTTGCGCGTCCGTGGGCCGCCGACCTCCTCTGCTGCAGAGATGGACATGGATAATGCCATGGTGGGTACGAGGTCGTTCTCGACTGCGTCGGGAGAAGGTGGCGGGAGAGCGGGAGTCCCCGGTGTGGACGTGATGGTGTCGGAAACGGCCGTCAGAGCGGCACTGGTACCGGCGGTCGGGGTAGTGGTGATGAGAGTAGGGGTTGTTGTGGTGTTCGATGGGAGGGGGATAGACATGGACGCCGATGTACTTGCAGTGAGAGTGGGAGTAATGGTATGTGGAAACTGAGAAGGTGAGGTGGAGGAAGATAGAGAGCTGGTCATGGATACTGTGGAGTCGGAGGGGTTCAAGTCCACCGCATTGGTGCTAGAGGTTGGCCGAGGCTGGCTACTGGTGCTCGGCGAGTGGGTAAGCCTCTGCACTCTCGCACGCCGGTGAGATGAGAAGTCGTCGTCGTCATTGTTGTCGTATGCAAAGTCGTCGAGGTTGCCAGGCTGCATGTACTGAACATCCGGAGTGTCGTCGTCACCGATGTCCATGGGGATTGTCTCACCACCGACGACGCCAAAGACGTGCTGATCGAAGTACGAACGCGTGGCTTGCAAGTTGTTCGTCTCCCAATTGACAGTAAGGAACCGGTACCAAGTTTCGTAGTCCCCTTCGTAGGACCAGCTCGTGTTCAGCCCGACAGGATTGAACTCAGTGTCGTAGGACAGAAGGAAGCGCGTCTGAAAACACACATCAGTCAGTAAATCTTATCGCGGTGACAGCTCAAACTCCTTCGCATGCGCTCCAGTCGCACTGCGATCCACAGGACATCCTCCGTATACGCTGCAGCAGCACCTCGAGCCGCGTCACCTCAAGCGCCGCATGTCACTCGAGTGTCCACGCGAGCGCATTGAATGCAGTCATGTTTTCTGGAATGACCGCGCGCGGGCCCCCGACACGCAGGCACATGAGCAGCGGGCACACCGTGGCCTAGCACGGTCACCCATCGCGCGCAGCCTCTCGTTCCGCGTCCACGCTACAGGTCGGCCCATTGGACGCGAGTGCCTCAAGCACGTCGATACGGTCCATGAAGCCTGATGAGAGTGGGCAGCCGCGCTTCAGGGTGCGATCCCGCCGGTGCCGCACTTGTGCGTAACGTTGATCATGAGCGCGTGGTACTGATGGGAACGCGGGCCAACTTCCCGGGCTTGCAGAACACCGTGCGCGAAGGACGCGACGCTGTGCATCGCCTCTGCACCACAGGAGACCCCAGAATACTCTCGCGGATGTAAGGGCGCGCCGTGGAGGACCAGGAGCAAATATAACGAAGTCCCATACTGTATACAGACTGCGGAGGACTCACCACTGTGGCCGCCATCGCAATCATGCCCGGTGTGACAGTACCCAGTTCGAGCTTCTTCCCGAGACTCTTGTTGGTAGGTTTGTGACCCTCGTTTGCACCAGTGGCTCCGTACAGAAGCACACGAAGAGTCTGAACGTGTGCTTAGTCAGAACACAAGCCGCGGCAGAATCGAACACTGCCAACTGACCTTTGCGATGCAGGCCGTGCGGAACAACTTCACCTCGAGCTTTTCATGCTCAATGCCGGGGAACAAGAACGGATAGTAGTGGTTTCTCGGGTCTTGATTATCGCCTCGAAGGAACGAAAGGTGGTGATGGTTCTTCATATCGTTAGTCGAGCCTGACCATGGCACATCCTGGAGATCTGCGATGTGCGAGAAGATGGTGCTACGTGCCGCCTTGCAGTTGTTGATACAGTTGTTCTTCGTGTTTTGAACCCTTTCGGCGAACTAGGAAAGAAATATTAGATGGCTGTTACGTTAAAACTCCTACGCACTCACCACAGAGCGCATCCAAACTTTGTCGAAGATCTCTCGGAGATCTCTCGGCAGATCATCAACGAGCTCAGCGAGACGGGCGTCGTTACGGCGTGACTGGGAAACAAGAGCATTGCGGTTGGTGGCGTCGGATACCCGTGGGTCGGGTGCACCAGTAGGGTCTGACTTGATGATATCGCCGATCGTCGTGCCGTTGGGCCACCTCCAACCGTAGTTCTTCGGATCTACTCCAGTCGGCCGGGTGCCCTGCGTGAAGAGCGATGGAGGTACCCAGAAGCAGATACGAAACATGTAGAGTTGGGCCGAGCGTGACAGGGATTCCGACAACGATACTTCATAGGTTGAGGTTGGTAGGTTCTTGCGCTTCGAAGCGGGAAGCATCTCTTTGAGCACTTTGACCTGCTCTTGGAGTTGTCGGTTCTCGGTCGAGAGCGAAGAGTACTTCATCTCAAGGTCATGGTACGCCTGATCAAAGCTTGTCAGCTCGGATATCGTGGTATCGCCGAGTCGCCACTGCACTTACATTGCGATATTCAGAGAGTCCGGCAGTCATATTCGGCCGTGAGCCCGATAGAGACCAGCCATCGTCATCTTCATCGGCGCTCTCATGCGGCGAAGGCATATCTATGACAGTCAAGGATAAGTGCGGGTGTGAGTGGGAGTGTAAATGGCAGCAAACGCGGTGGGCGTACCAATGTGCGATGTGAGAATCGGAGCCCGGTAGGGAGAGGGGATGGAAGTTCTGCGAGTTTTATACCTTGTCAGACGTTTGCAGGGGAAGTTCATGTATGAGATCACACTCACCGCGCATGCAAGCCGAGTCTCTCGGCTGTCTTCTCGTTCCGTGATGCGACGTTCTGGACGCGTCTATTGCAGAGCTTATAGCCTCGTGTGATGCGTGCGCCACTGAGTGCTGCGGGGGATGACATTACCGCTGTATTTGGTGACGTTAGAAAGATGTCACTCACCTCAATAGACCCATGAGGACTCTAATTTCCGCCTCGCACGCCGCTGCGAAGAAGCTAGAGTGGTGGACGTTTCGAGTCATCATGTCCCGATTGGTCACTGCGCTGTCGTGCGACGGTGAGCGAGGGCGAGATCGACCGGGAACTGAGGTGTGTCCTTGCGAAACAGCGTGTATGCTCCGGTTCTGGGAACGAGCGGGCTCGGAAAAGAGCCTGGAGCGAGGGCAGTGGGAGGTCCATGACATCTTCGCTGTCAGAATGGGGCTTCGCAGAATCCGGTCGCCGTTCATAAACTTCTGCTGCTGGTTCGCCTGAGAGGAAGTCAGTGACATGGGACCGCCTCGGCCTTCTTCGCGGCGGTGGAGACCTCATTCTCGACCTTCGGTACGGTAGTGGAGACCGTTTTCTCGGCCGCGCGAATCCAGCTCTCGCTTGTCTCTGGCTTACTGGAGTCCTCGTGCACGCCGTGACCCTTGCCCTAGTCGATCTTCTTCCACTCCGCGAACATCGGGGTGAGCGGCTCGCACTCCTTCTTCCTCGCCTCCTGACCGCGGCGGCGACAGGGTGGTGGGTTCTTGAGGCGCGGCGTGGGCGGACTCGGACGCTTGGACGAGTCGTCGAGTCGGCGACCTCGACCCGAGAACGGACTCGTGTTTGCGTGTCTTGGGCGAGGCTCTCGAGTGGGGCGACTTTGGACTCGGGGACGGAGATCGTGGGCTGGGTGGTGGTGTGCTGGGCTTCGAGGGAGCGCGAGAGCTCGAGCGCCATCTCGAGCTGTTTGGCGAGCGTGTTGAGGTGGTCGGCGAGCGTGTTGAGGTGGTCGGCGAGTGCGTTGAGGTGGTCGGCGAGCGCGTTGAGGTGGTCGGCGAGCGCGTTGAGGTGGTCGGCGAGCGCGTTGAGGTGGTCGGCGAGCGCGTTGAGGTGGTCGGCGAGCGCGTTGAGGTGGTCGGCGACCTCGTCCGGGACAGCAGGGACAGACGTGGGAGGGGGGAAGTCGGGCGGAGGGTGCGGGCTGGTTGCCAGAATGAGTTTGGCTTTTGCTCGTCCTTGGTCACGCCCATGCCAGTCAGCTCAGGTGTCCGCGGGCGGCCAAGCTCGTCGCGACTCCTCCGCTGCTCTTCGTCCTACTCTTCGACATGCGCGGGGTGACTTTTAAGATGTTACGGGTGTTGTTGTCGTCGTGCGATAGACGGGCGCTTGCCATGAGCCGGAAGAGCTCAATCTCCCACTTGCGCTCCGACGTGCTCCGCCAAGGAGCGCTGAGTCTCCTGTAGCTGGCTCTGGAGTTCCGACATGGTGCTCGAGGGCTCCGATGACGGCCTCTTCCGCAGCTCAAGCAACCTGGGCTGGCATGACTGGCGGCAGTATTGTAGAGGTTTGAAGGATGCGTGTTCGATTAGCGGACGATTGGTAGCGTTAACGACAAAACGTACCAAACTGCCCCAAGGGTATCATGGATCTCGGCGAGACCGCCGCTGAGTGAGCGAAGCTCCGCACTATTCTTCATGCTCTTCTGAAGCTATTCTTGAAGCGCGGACTGCTGAGGATGTGGTCGAGAGTGAGACCGCTCTTGCCGGGGACAAGGACGTTCCCACTGTCTATGCTGCCCATGCTGAGTCCCGACAAGGCCTTGAAGTTTTATTGTCGGCCGTCGCTGAGGCCCGGCTCCGTTTGAACTGCCCTGAACGTTGCCGAAGTTGAAGGGGCTGTTGCCGGCGCTGGCCTGGTTGGGCATGCCACCCGTATAAGTAGCCATGGGGTACATGCTTGCAAGGGCGAGCGGGGGCGTAGCCAGGCTAGCCGATCTCGTCTTCCACGGGGAGCTGTGCGAGCAGAGGCGCTGTCAGCAAGGGATGCAGGACGGAGGATGGATGCAGAATATCTATCACCGTGGAGGGCGAGTGAAAGGCGGGAGAGCCAGGCATTCAATCACGAGAAGAGAAGGGAAAAAAGGAGAACGGAAACGGAACAAGGCGGAGACGGAGATACAAAAGCAGTTCGCGCGACGGGTGGGGGAAGAGCGCTAGAGGGCGAGCCGCAGGACGAGCACGCACCATGTTCAGGCTGTTGTTCAAGAGCGGGACTCTAGTTGTCACACACCGCCTGGCCCCCCTCGACATGGATCTGGGGAGTTCAATGGACGTAATGGTGAGCGCGAGCGTAGAGGACAACGGGAGAGACGGGCGCACTTCCAGAAAGAGATGGTGTGCCTTCTTCAGTAAGACGTCATCCGCCGTCTCCTATTGCTCTGCGGGAAGGGATATATCCCCAAGTTGCAGGCAGTGGTGAGGGTAGCGTGAGGACGGAAAGCTGGTCAGATGCTGTGCCTTTACGGTGATAGTAAACACAACAGACCGAGCGTGCGGCGTCGACGAGCGTGGGCCACCCAGGGCAGGGGAGGAATCCGCGGAGGCAGTCGGTGTTGAAGTCTGTGCCACGAAGTTCGACCACAATGTCCTGGAAACGCAGCACAGTGACGTTTTCATGGGTGCAGCCCAAACGCAGCACGCGAGCAGGTTGCGTGGATCGTCGTGTAGGAGAAGAGCTGCCCCGAGTCGTCTGCATACCCTGCTGCTGGGCTTGCGCCTCGCCGCACTGTGCGGCCTCGGCACATCGAGCTGGGTGAAGCCACATGCGACGCGGGCGATGATCTTGCGATGAACAATGGTTTTGTTGTCTTCGCTGACGATTTCGATGCCGAATTCCTGCAGGAGAGGGAAAGGAGGGGCGGGGCGGGAAGTCGGCGAGCGTGAGACACGAGGCGGGGGAAGCACATCGATTACAGCGTGGGAGGGAGGCGGGAGCGCCTGTTGGTCTGGATTTGAGGGGAGTAGGACGGACGGACGGACGGAGATGAGGGAGATGGCGGGATTCATGGGGAGGGTGGTCTAGGTCGTTTACAACAGCTCCTTCGACTCGACCATCTGAGGTCCAGTCGGGAAGACGACGGGACCCTCTGCAGTGACCACGCCGACTGCCGTGGTTGGAGGGAGCGCGTTGACGAGCGTGGCGTACTCCTGGGTGTTGCCCCCCACGCGGATGCGGATGCCGCCGGCACGGTTCGCGACGGAGGCGAGCAGGTTGAGGAACGGCACCTGCAGCACGGACGAATTCCGCCCGACTGCACCCTGCGTGCCGAGAATTCCGATCAGGAGGGGTCTGTACCGGGTTCAGGGCGGAGCGGCAACGCACCTGAAGCACAGCGACGGCGACCTCAGCGCGGAGAAACACATCGCGGAGGCCCGCAAGCCTGGTAAATGTGCATGGCTGGGCGCCGCCCTCCCCTGCGCCTGAGACGTCGATGGTGAACGCGTGCTCGTAGAGCTTGAGCACCGGTGGCTGGCCCATGATTGCTGCAACAGACGAGATCGTCAGAGGTGGTGGGGAACCAGGCGAGCGCCACGGCGATGGGAGTCGGTGTTGAAGGACTCGGCGGCCTGGACGAGGAGCCGGTCAGAGTGCGTGACTTTATGTGTGAAGTCGCCGCCCATTGTGGATGGTTTCGTCCGCATTGATATTGAATGAAAACTTGATTGGAGGGGAGCCTTGAAAAGGCTTGAAGGAGGCCCGCGTTTTTGGTGTAGTGAACCGCGAAGGCGATACCTCTCGATCGCGTCGATGATGATGTTGCACTCCGATACGGCAGGACGACGACGACGACGACGTCCGATTTGATCTCCTCGCTCGCGGTATTCTCCGCGAGGTTGTGGGCGTATGCAAACTGCATCGCGATGAGCTCCGAGTCCGTCAGTGAGCCGGAACGGTGCCGCACTTGGTCCAGGCGCTGTTCCCGGTGGCGATAGATGTGTCGACTCGAACGAGGTGCTGTCCAAGTCGTAGGGCACGGGAAGCAGTTGAGGGAGGAGAAGGAGTGCGGTGGGAGAGCGTCTGAGCAGGAGCTGTGGCGTGACACAATCGACAGCCGAGGTTCGACAAGCGGCCCGGCGGCACTCTCAATTACCCGTTCATCGTTCCGGCCAGGAGACAGGTATGCACACATTCACGGCTCCTCACACTGATTCTAATTTCTTCTACTACAGACCTCGTCCGCATCGCACATCCACACACCCACGACCGCTCACCGCCCGAGCTGACCTGGAGGCGGCCAGCTCCGCCTCCCCGACGCCTCCATCTCCTGTCCACGTTCTTCCCCTTCCCTCCCGTGCTCTGCACGCTCTTCCATTTGCCTCACGCTTCGTGAGTTCTTCCACCAATCTGTCTCTTGCTGTAGCACACACTTAACAGGCTCACGCACAGCGTCTTCGCATTCCTCACGGTGACCTTCCCCGGTAATGGGCAGGCCGTGGCCCGACGCGTCCACGCGCGGGTGCCTCATCATCACCGGCCATGTCGCCGGCCACGTTCGCGTGGACTTGGTCGCACGAAGCATCGTCTTCGGGGTGACGAACCACGCGCCCGTGCGCGCGGGCCCGGGTTGCGAACACGTCCCCGTCCGCCATCGCGCGCCTCGCGCATACCGCCATCGTGCGCGGTCGCCCACCGGTGGTCGGCGAGGGCAAGAGCGTGCGGCCGGTCGTGCACGTCGACGACGGCATTGGTGCATCCCGCGCTGTCCACCACGTTCTTCCGTGCTGAATTTGGGCTGATGCACCTTCGCAGCCGCCGAATTCTACCCGCACCTGCTCTCAGACGTCGTCTGTGCCCGCCCTGTAGCCGTGGACCACGGCGAGGAGGGCCTGTATTTGCTCGAGAACGACGAGCAGCCGTGTTCTGGCGCCGTGGCGCACGCGGTCGAGCTCGCGCAGGCCGCTCACGGCACTGGGCGAGTCCCAAAGCCGGTGTGGCGAGTCGCCCTGAGGGCAGCTCGCCCACACGACACTCGTCGTGACTCCCAGAAGAAGCAGCAGCACCGGCAGAACACTACTGAATTCATGGTGAGCCTGGCTGTGAAGTCTACCACTGCGCGGGGCCGTGGGCCACGTCGCGATCGTGTGCAGGAGATTATCGCGCCGCTTCATGTGCTAAATCTTCGGGTCGATTGGCATTACAGCAAGGGGCCATGCGCACATGCGGCGATGTGCAATGCGCCGGGCTCTGGGTTGACTGGCAGCACGCTTGGTCGAGTGGGACTAGGCCACGATGTGCGGCAGGTGTTAGCGTGACAGCGGCGGAGGGTGCACAGAGCGGCCTTGTGATGCCGCTGTTTAGTATGGTGCAGCGTTGCTCGAGATGAGAGAGAAGCGGACAGAAAACCTAGCTGATTGAGTAAATATGGCTATCTGTACATGGTAAGAATCTATGAGTACCACTCGGGAACCGCTTCTTTCAAGCGAAGAAACATGTCGCTGTCCACAATATCTATAGCTAAATAATCATTGCCACCATGTCCCTGTCCCGGGTCGTTTGTAATCATGGCTCCACGGATCATAGATTGGAGGGGAAGGAAAATGCATCTGTGTGGACTTGGTGATTGCAAACGGCAGAGCCCGAGTGGCTTGTCATACTCAGGCCGCTGTTCCAGTCGATCAAATGCTTCTGCGAAGACGATTGGATATGACTTGCCCCCCGAGAGAATAGTGAAAATCAGCTGTAGGCGAGCAAATTCTACAGGTGCAGAGAGATTGTTCCAGGGTTGATAGATGAATGAATCGTAGCGAGGAGCATTGTGGAAGTCTGGATTGCATCGCAAATAATCTGTTTCGGTTTTCCATGTGACTTTGGAGGTGAAATCAATTTTGAGGAACTGGTATTCTGTGATCTAACATAAAGCTTCACATAAGAATGAGTGCAGTGCCAAGGATTGAATGTACTGTACCAGGGTATCCCTGTTGACTGTAGTATTTTGTAGCCCTGGATTTTGCTGCAAGAATATTTGAAGTTGGCTGAAGAACTGAGTGTAGAGTGGATTCTTCACGTTTGCATCAAGAAGGGCCTGAAGCGAGATGGGTGACTGAGGAGCACCAATATATGTGTGGCCAAACTGTGAATCTGACTCCTTGGAGACAGAGAGACGTTGATCTGGCTGGCTGGGAGAGGAAGCATCAAGATGTCTGCGTATACGTCGTGCGGTTGCCAAACGCTGCTCGTGTTTTGCAATCTGTATATCCAAACAGTCAGTTTTAAGGATCGGTAGGTAAATTAAAGCATTACTATACCTGCGCTTCAAAGTTCTTGAAGTTAGTTCGTGTCAAATAAATATCCTTCAATGGGCCATGCATTGTCTCAAAGGTTTTCGTGTTGAAATGCAGAGTGGCACCCTTTTGCAGGATATCGTCAGGGGCATGTTGTTGAGAGTGCATTTTTGGGAAGTTCCAGTTCTTGCCTGGATAAACCTGCATATATTCCTGCATCATATATATGAGCAACAGAGCCTGCAACTGAAGTAAATATTACCTGTATAGCTTCATAGAAGAGTACTAGAGTGAGCTTGAAGGCTTCAAGGGTCTCTTCAGTGTGGCATTCCAGTCCAGCATAGATGTCGAGGATGTTGTATAGTCTGATACACTTCAGAATGATGAATCCACGGGACAAGCGGAGATGCTTGGA